TTAAAAACCCCCCCAAAAAAAAAAAAATGGGGGGCGAAACTTTTCACAGTTTTCCCTAAAAAAAATTTTTTTTTTTTTTTTTTTTTTTCCCCCAGCGGGTGAGGATTTTTTTTTTTTTTTTTTTAGCATACTCAATAGAATAAATGTCTAATTTCAAAGGTCATAGAGTATTTATGAGTATGGCTCATAAATAGCGCCATACTCACCGTGAGCAGTGCACATGGCGGGCTACCATGGCGGGGGGTCAGCCACTCCCAGTGCCAGCCAGGCTTCACGCCCCCCTGACAAAAATCACACCGCTCTGTCACGCCTCCTTTTCTTCATCCGACTCCTCTGTGTAGCTTATCGGTTCCGCGACCCCGGTCCGTTTTCACAGCGTCAGAAGTTAGTCAGGGCTCTCGCCGCGGCTGGTCTCTGTTTGACCCGCAGGCTGTTTGGATATCACCTCTGTGCCTGACTGGAACATCGTGTCCTTGACATAAAGGGGGAGAATGACAGCCAAGCACCGAAAAGGGAAAAGCAATCACAAACAGGAGGATAACTTTTTTAAAAGTGAGCTCTTGGAAACAGAAGTTCGCCCCGGTGGGAACAACCACACTCATCTGCTGCTTTTAGTTTCGGTCGTTGTGATCGGATGGGTCGCCGGTGCATGTTTTTTTTTCCAGCAGCACCTAACTTTAACTGACCTAACAGACAGCGTCATGGGCATTCAGGTGAAAATAGCCAAACTGCAGTCTTCTCACGAGGAGCTGAGGCTGTCAAATACAAAGGTAAAAACTTAATATAGTTAAAGCTGGAGTCCTGCTTGCGGACCTGATCCGACTTGCCTTTAATGATGGCCTATTTAATGAATGAACTGCTGTTTAAAATACATGTTTCTGAAAATAGAAGAACAGCCCTTGGGCCACATACAAGCTTTAAGCTGCAGTGAAGAAAACTAAAATATGTAGGACTCTATCAAGTTTCAAAATGCCAGGAGTTTCCTGCTATTTCCAACATACACGCAGCTGTTGATGTTTGTTTCAGACCAATAAGAAGGTCATTTTAGCCAGACTCTGTATCAGATCTTTATATTGTCAATGGAAATAATTCTACTACATTAATTAAGCAGAACAACAAACCTAAAGCAGGGCAGAAGATGCACAAACTTCATAAACAAGACAGCAATGTGCCAAGACTATATTTAGATTGAGATTTCTGATGCCAAACAACACTCTTTGAACACTTGTGTGCAGAATGTGAGTAACAACTAATCAGACAGTTGGGAAATAAAATATTTTGTATTATTAAAATAATGTACAATGTCAGAATATGCATATATAAGGTAGTAAGAACCTAGCAGCTCTGTTGTGTCATGGCTGCTGCGGGCTATATTTCTCTGTACTATGAGAAGTCCAAAGGGAAGACCTCTCTGTGGAAACTTTGCATGCATGAGGCTTGGTCTTTTTCAGCGAGTCCTCTCCGTATGAACAGACTTAGGAATATGCACATTTTGAGGTAAATGTTCATCCATGTTTTCAAAAATTGCAAAGTTTGTTTTACCATGACCCAGATGGTTTCTAAACCAGTTTTTAGATTTTGGTTTTGTAACTAGTAGACTCAATTTAGGAATAGCTCATCTAATCATCTATTCTAGCCAGGCTGCTCTTTTGTGATCCTTTTGAAAAGTCAAATTTTTCATACGGCATTCTTGATTAGAAAATTTGGGGGACTTTTTGGAAAACTTGGAGAAATACACCTGGTAAATCTAATTGTGCAGATCATGCTAGATGGCAACATAAGATGCCAAAGGCAGATTTTAAAATGTCTTCTTTTAATTTTATTTTTGTTTCAGGAGTTCTTGTGAAATCAGCTTTACCTGTAGAGTTGTCATTGTGACATCACCTCTAGTCCCAATGAAACAAATTATTGATCAAGGTTTAAAGATCCTTTATAGTTAAAGTAAATGACTTAACAATTTAACATGTATGAACAGTAAATATGAACTTTTTTTGCTCTGATCTATTAAGTTGGAGACAGCTGAAACTTATTTTGAATTGATCTAGTAGAGTAAATTTGTGATCTGGCACAAATCTGTGTTTCAAAGTCTGCAAACAAAAGTGGCACATCTGTCTTCTGAAGAAGTTAATTAGAATGGTTGGGTTTACATTATCTCAGTTCATAACCTAGAAAATCTTGCTGGATTTGAAGACTTTTTTTTTTACAATTCGCTAAAACCTTCAACTGTTTTCTACCCTCTTCTCTTCTTCAGTGCAAACATTTCCTTAGTATTCCATTTATCTATGGTGGTTGATGAAACTTTTAATGCTTTAGGTCTTTAAGACTATGCGTCTCCTTCATTGCAGCAACATGTTTCAGAGAACGTGAACACACGACTGGCTTCCTTGGAGGAGTCTTATGCACTGACTCAGAAACAGGTGGGCATGGCTTTGGCTATGGCCGAGCAGCTGAAGACATCCGACCTCCCTGCTCAGGTGCTGTCTGTGCACACCGAGATGAAAACCCATCTGGCAGAAGTGCAGCAAGCCACCGTGTCTCTGGAGCAACTGAGCCAGTTGCAGAGCATGCTGACGGGGAAGAGCGTAGAGTTTGAGGACATCAGGATGCAGATGGAGGATTTGGCTGCTCTGGGCAGGGAGCTGTCCCACAAGGTTGAGGACTTGTCTTTGAACTTTGCTGAAGCTGAATCAAAGATGGAAGAAAAGATTGCCCAGGTTACTGCAATGACCGCTACATTGGATGGACAGACCAGTGAGATGTTGAAACTGAAAAATCAACTGGACACTTACCAGGCACAGCTGGTGGAAACTGCTAAACTCAGGTAAATTCTGGGGGGGGAAATGCAGCTTTTTGAGAAGTTGAGAAATCTGCTTCCTTCCTCTCACCCAGAACTTTGTCGACTTAGTCAAAGCCTTCTTTTCTATCACAGTGCATGGATCGCTTATTTGTCTAGTCCATTGTTGGTAGGTCTTGTATTCATGTTGTGAGGCTGCCCCGATCTGTCTAAGCACTTCTGTGATTTGCTCGCCTTACTTTATCGTGTTTGTTAAATGAGCACATTTGGAAAATGACATTTTGACGATTCACACATTTTTAGAAAGTGTAGTCTATCACCACCATCACTGACAACAAGTCTGATAATGGCATTCTTGGATCTTTCAGAGCGTTTCTTGAACGTAAAGGGTCCCAGCTGTTCCTGAAGGCCAGTGAAGAGCATCAGGTAAGCACAGTATATTCCAGTGTGAATAAATATAGCCTACACTCCATTCACAAGATTATCATCTTAGAAACACGGAAACAAAATACTCAAGTAACCATTAGACAAGCCAATGTACGAGTGTGCTTCTGTGGTTCTCCTTTTTATTCTTATTTGGCACTGATGGAGTCCCCTGAAAAAAATATTGATACTCCCTAAACTTTTACTATCTGTCGCATCACAATCACAAACTTCAATGCACTATTGAGATTTTTGGTTATAGACCAACACAAAGTGCTGCATAATGGCCAGAAATAAACAGGGTTTTCAAACATTTTACTCATGCTCTTCATTAATCTGACCTTCATGGAAAAATAGAAAGATTTGCTGAACAAAAGCCAGAAATGTTTCCATTTGTAGTTTGCAACAAGGTAAAGACACAGCGAATCTTTGAAGTAACCTGTGAACTTAAGTTGTAATTGAAGAAAAAAAATATTGTTCTGCACACAATAGACTCGAGGGATGCATAGAAATACACACATACACACCACACTTCATTTGTAAAGAGGAGAAAAAAAAAACAAGACAAAATGGATATTCTCAAGGGGTCTAATTACATTTTATAAGTACCTTTTGTCTGTACAAGCAAACACATTGTTGCGTAGCTTACCAGTTTAGCAAATTTTACAGTTCCAGTAACGGTTGGCTTTTAGCAGATTAACCTTGAGAATTATGCCAGAACAGGCTCGACTCACACAGAGACATCTTCCACGGTCTCCTTACTATTTCTGTACTCTGCCTGTAGGGAGACGTTAATGAGATTTTTCTGTCATTAATTTGAGTAAAGTAATTGCTTGGTACGGCTTCACATTCAAGCTGCAGTCAAACATCATTTCTGAGTCACTGCAATCACATAGCATTGACCGAAACAGCCGCATGTTTAGGTGCTTCTGCGCTGCAGACTTTTCATCTGAAGTAACACTGCTTTTGTCTTGTCTTAGGTGGAAGACCAGACACAGCCTCCTGCTGAGCATCTTGAAAGGAAAGAGGCAGATGACGCTGAGGAAAAAGCAGTGGCCGAGGATGAAGAGGTAACTGACGATGAAGAAGAATTGGCTGCAGTTGATGATGAAAAAGACGAAGAGGCGGCTAAAGCCGCCGCGGAGGAAACGGCAGCTGTAGAAACTGAGGAGGAAGAAGACATTATGGCAGCTGAACAGAACCAGGTAGCTGAAACAAATGAGGAACAAGTAGACAATGCCGGCACGAGTGAAGAAGAAAAAGAGCATGCGGAACTTGATGAGAAGCAAATAGAGGAGGAAACAGAACCTGATGAAGAAAAGGAAGTTGCAGAACGTGATGAGGAAGAGGAGGCGGCTGCAGAACGTGATGAGGAAGAAGAGGAAGCTGCCGAACTTGAGGATCAAGAGGAGGCTACCAAAATCGAGGAGCAATTAGAGGATGTTGTCAAATCTGAGGAGCAAGTAGAAGAGGCTGCTGAACCTGAAACTGAAGACCAGGCACCTGCTGGGGAAGAGGAAGCTCCCACAACTGAGGAAATGGAAGAGGTAGCTGCAGCACCTGGAGAGGAGGACACAGAAAAAACTCCAGAAGACGCACTTCCAGCAGCTGAAGATGGACAGGAACCGTCTTCAGAGAAAGAAGCAGGAGCGTCTTTGCAACAGGAAGAATATGCAGCAGCAGATGAACAACATTCATCTCCTGTTGAGCAGAAAGATGGAGAGATGGAAGAAACCGCTCCTGAAGAGGAGGGAAATGACACGGAGCGTGAAGACTTGGAAGAGGAGGGAAATGACACGGAGCGCGAAGACTTGGAAGAGGAGGGAAATGACACGGAGCGCGAAGAGATGATTGCTGGGTCAGAAAGCAAGACAGATTATGAAGAAAAAGTTCAGGAGGAATCGACAGCCCTAGAGGAGAAACGAGAGGCAGAGACAGAGGAGAATAAAAATGGCAAAGTAAAAGAGATGACTGAAGAGGAGCCACAGGAGGCAGAAGAAGAAGAGTTATCGGAAGAATTTGCTTTTCTAGAAAATAAATGAAGCAAGTAAGAAAATCACTTTTGTGTTCCATAAATTAATTTATTGGACTCAGTAAATTGAAAATCCAATGTCTTGTGATATTATTCACTCCTTGAACATATTTGTTATGTTAGGTTTTATGTGACAGACCAACACAGAGTACTATTTAATGTAAATTGGAAGGGAATAAATATGAGGCTTTCAAACTAAAATTTTGACAAGTATACTATTATTTTATTACATTTAAAAATATTTGTAAGTCCATGTACAAATTGCAAGTTTTGTACTAGCTCTTTAGAAAGATTGCTCAAGCACATTCAGAGTTTCAGCTCGTTAGGGAAACCTTAGATCTCGCCTCATCTCTTTTTGCATTTGGCTCCGTCCATCTTCCCATGAACTCTGACCAGCTTCCCTGAACCTGCTGAAGGAAAATCATCCCCACAACACCATGAAACACGGCTTTTAGTGACTTTCCTTCAAAAACGTCGTGTTTTACTTTTGTCTTCATGATGCTTTTTATTCACCGGAGTTCTCTAACAGACCTCTGATACCTTCACAGAGCAGCTGTAATATTATTGAGATTAAATTAGATAAAAGTGACGATTTATTTATTAGACGATCCCTGGAAGCAATTACTTTAATTGGATGTTCTTTGGCTATATTGGAGTAAAGAGGATATAAATGCAAGGTCGCCCTTTCCATTTTTTTATTTTTTATTTTTTGTACAATATTGAAAACCTTGTTTTGTTTATGTTGGTCTGTCACTTAAAATTGACTAAAATGACAAACGATGAAAAAGTTTGGGTGTGAATATTTTTGTTGTAAGACGGAGACTGAGACTACTTTTGAGAAGATGCCCCTTCTGTTACATTTCTTATGTCCTCTGATCTTTGTTACAGGTCTGGATGATGACTTTTTTTTTTGTTCTTTTGTTAGTATGCTAAAGAAATCCACCAAGAAGAACGTGAACTTTTTCAGACTGTCTACACCATGACAAAATGCCGTTTTTGTTTAGTTTTGTTTGAAGGCAGATGACGTTTGGAAGGCAGACCAAATCAGAGTGCACTGGGCTGGAGTTTAAGTGAAACTAAAAACATCAAAATGATGAAATTTAGTTGTTTTTTTTCTTTATGTTTACCTCTCAATAACAATGTCAAAAGCCTTAATTCATAACAGAGTTACCTTTTTAAAGAAAATGACCCACTCTTCATAAGTCCCACTTTTCCCATCATGTTTCTGCACAACCTGAAAGGTTTAACCAAGTAACATAAAGAAGTCACTGCATAAGCTTTTTTGGTTCAATAAAATCCCATGCGGCTTTCTCTCGGTAATTCAGCTGACAAAGTGGGAGTCATCTATTATATGGATTCATTACACACAGCGTTATGTTTTGCAAGCATTTATTTCTGCTACTTTTTATAATTACGGCTTACAGCTAATGAGAAGTGGAAATCAAATCCCATGTCCTGGTTACGTTTGTTGGAAGCTCTGCCAAACTCTTTATTGGGTTTGCATCACTGTCCTCTCAAGACTGCGTCCCATGTTGTTTGTGCATCTTTTTTTTTTAACCACACTTCTTTCCTTTTATTCAGTTTTTCTTTAATAACCATTAATATATGAACACAGAGTTGATTTTTCTGCTGCTTTAATACATTGCATTCTGTGAACAGCCAGCTTTATTATCATTTTTGGATGCTTTCTTGTGGAGAGAGGTAATGGCTTTCTGCTGAGCACCAATCAGACAGCAGTCTTCACTTCATGACTTCGTACATCAAACGGTGCCCTAAGCACAACGTTACTGTGCTAAAACCTTTTTTTTTTTTGTCTTAGCTCATTTGTCATATGTATGTATATTTTTTTTTTCTTTCTGAAATTGAATTTGGGTTTCCAACCATCAAACTTAACAGAAATAAATACTTGAAAAATATCAGTAAAATGAATCTAATAAAATAGTGGAATTAATTGTAAAGTATTGACTTTGAAATATGACATAATATATTTTACTAAGATGTACATGCATAGTTCAAGTTAGATTTATATCCTCAAGATGGTCAAAGAAATGGATCGACTTATTTCTTCAGCGGTATTTTATAACTTTAGTTTACTGTACAATGGGTAGATTTACTCAGAGTGAATACTGTTTCATGCAGCCTTTAAATGGCACAGTGAAGAAGCTCAGGGACAAATCATTCTTTACATAGATGGCTGTGCGGTCACCGCTGAACTATAGCAACGTTATGATGCCAAACATACTTGAACAAAAGAAGAGCCCAAGATTTTGAACAAATTTTGGTGTGGAAATGAGCTGGTATGAGGCCAGTGCAGGAAAAAAAAAAAAAAAAGGTGACGATGTATCAAGTAGATTAACCACTTCAATTTGCTGTGTCATATCTTTATAGTGTCAGACATTAATTAAAAATATGTCCTGGGTAGTAATATTTAAAGGAATATGAAACGATGGTTTTCATGGTTCCTTTGATTGCAGTCACAAATCTCATCTGCTGTGTTGGAAGTAAAGCCGCATCAGGCTTTTTTTCAGAACTCATCAGGAAAAGCCTATTGATACTGTGAATCCTCACATGACAGTTATTATTTGCTGCACAACAATAATAAGGGCAAAATATGTTACTTTGTGAATTTTTACTGAATCTGTCTGTTTTGGTTTTCTTTGGTATGGTTTCTGTTAATGTGTGTCGGTACCCTCTGTTGTTAAAATAAACCCTCTTTCCTTTTATATACTCGATGTAGTGCTGTTCTATCACATTCATATGCTGAACAGATTGACCTCAGCTTCTCAGTACACAGTTAAGAGTGTCTCATCTGAACATTCACGGTTGGATTTGGGTTTTGGAGGCCCATTTTCCCAAGCTAGTAAGTTCTGGGGTTCCTCCAAACATTGTTCTCTTAATTATGAAAAAGGTGGAAATATTTATTTTAGACCTCTGAAAGCTGGTAACACTTATTCAACACAGATTTGGGAATTATTTGTTTTTGAAGTCCAGAGTTGTTTGAAAAAAGCCACAAATACCTTTTATGTCTTGAGCAAGGCCACCATGTTCCTCTTCGGATCTATACTAAGCTTATATTGTTTATAACTGGCCAAATAAATGCTTTCAAACAAATCCTTCGTACAGGAAATAAGACGTAGTCAGCCATAGCTACAAGACGTTGAGCATTTGAAGAGACGGCGTTGTTACTGGAGCTTAAACTGTTCTACTGGTAATTTTGGAAGTGGGGGTGCGCGTATGTATATGATATGCATGCCTACTGCTAAATATGGTTCATCATCCATCCATAGATATATAATTGAGTATGCCACCCCAGTTTGATATATTATAAACCATATTTAGCATCTTTATTTATTTATTTTTTTATAAAACTATGCTATGTTTTTATTTTTCTCTAAGTCAAGAATATTTTATATTCTTTTATTTTTTGCTTTTAGCTTTCCTTAGCTAATTCCCTGCAGGCTCTCTGTACAGATCTGTCCTGCTGCTTGCCTTTTGAAGTAGACTTGCTTGTATCAGCTGCTCTTAGACAGAAAGTATAAATTGATTGTGTATGCATCATCCAGACAGGAAGCCGCTCTCCCCTGCTCCCTCCCCGTTGTGTAGCCTGCTGCAGAGAGTCATTTTCTCCAGCCTCTCCCTCTCATCACTGCTGCACTATCTCCGTGCCTTAGTCTCTGACCTTCCACAGGAACCATGCAAGCTTTTGTTTCCAGGTACGTTTCAAAAAAAGTGTGAGTCATTCTGTTTTATTCTTGGGTTATTATGTAAACTATTTCACTTTCAGACTTTTAAAAGGCCTGAAGCTCTTTGTCATCAGGCTCATTATCTTAATGTAGTAATTACACTCTTTACTGGTACTGATGGGCTTTTCTTGTAAATAACAATTGTTGGCTTGAGGCTGCACATCCTTAATTAGTTCTAAATACGGAGCTTAAGGGAAGCAGTTTTCCATAGTATGAGCAGTATTTCCTCCAAAATCTGAGATATAGTTTTTAGTCTTTCAAATAATATCTTTGACTTTTCTCTTCTTTTGCTTCGTCATTGTTGATGTCAGCCACAGAACCTGTGTTAGTCTATCCATACTCAAAGCTTTTTTTTTTTTTTTTTTTTCACTTTACAATAGAATCTGCTGCTGAACAGCTTTGTGAAATCTTGTGGTGACTCTGGAACCGAACGATCAATAACTGTAAAAGTGAAGCAGAGGAGTGGCCAAAACACAACCGCAGCTTGTGCTTTTTCAGCCCTTTTCTAGTGTCTGTGAAGGCAGTGGTGCATGATGTGCTTGTCTCTTAGTAGCTGCTGCCAATGCTAAGCTCCCAGTTTATGTAGAATTTTCAAAGACAACAGCAAATCTATTTCTAAATGAAGAGAAAAATAAGAGTTATTTGTTCAGCACAAGTATACATTTCAATAGTTACTCTGCCAACTTTCTCCTTGATATTTTTCTCATTTTTTTCCACTTTAAACTTCAATAATAGACCAAGACTTTGTATTCTAATACTTACGGTTTAGAATACAAGTACTTACGGTTTTCTTTCAACTGTAGCTTTCATCTTTTGGGGGATGCAGTCGTTTGCAAGACTGCAAAACCGGTAATGCTGCAAGTACAAGCAAAGATAATTTGGTTTTTATTCCTATTTGATTTGGTTTCTTATATTTGTTTTAAAATTTGTATGGCAGGATTAAGATATAGAGATAGTGTGTATGTGTTTTTGCAGATATTTCTGATGTTTTAATGCTTAAATGTGGTGTCAGATATGAGACAACTTCTGTAATGTGTATAACACTAAGCAATTTTTTATAAAAAAAAAATTACAAAGCTTTAAAAAAGGTGCATTACATGGATGAGAAATGCAACAATTTCACATTGAAAAGCCTTTGCTGGCATATTTCAACTGGAGTTATAGTTTTCTTGCTGTTCAATTACATATGTCGGGGTTACTTTCAGAAACGCAGCCTGCATCTACAGAAAGGTCTCTTCTACAGTTGTACTTTCTCTTAAACATCTATCTGCTTGTTATTGTCAGGTCATATCTGGCTCCTGTGAAGGATGAAGAAGCAGAATCTCAGAGGAAAGCAAAGTCCCGCCATGCCAGGCAAACTCGCAGGTCAACACAGGTATAAACTAAGTGCTTCACAAGCTCTGGCTTTAATAGATTGTGTTTGACTGCTGACAGACACGAAGCTGTGTGGATATCCCGCAGGGTGTGACTCTCACAGACCTGAAAGAGGCTCAGATGAGCTACAGCCTGTCTCATCAAGACAGAGAGAAGGAGGAAGAAAGCACTCAAGGAAACATGCTGTGTCTGAGAAGAGGCTTTGCAGATGACACAGGAGATCAGGCTGGCCTGACTGAGTCCAAAGAAACGTCTGCGTTTACTCTGAAGTGGACCCAAGTAGACAAGGTAGCCAGAAATCACACCTGAGCTTTTTTGCTGCAGCACTTTATTTGTACATTTTATGAAATTTGGAGTTTCTTAATGTATTTTATATTACTTTCTTACTTATTTAGGAGGGGAACATTGAGAACAGGTTAGAGACTGTTGCAGAATCTCCAAACCTGTCAAATCTGTCTGCATCTGGATACCATGGTTCCCCTCAAAGCAGTAGCTTCTTCAGAGGTAGGATTGAAGTCATTTTATTTATTTTTTTTACTGCTGTTCTTTCATGATAAATGGGGTCACGGATATTTATGGGAAATGAAATGATATGATTATATTACCAATATTAGGGATCAGATGGAAATAATGAATCAACATTTAAACCTGTTTAACATCTTGTGACGAAGTGGTAACCTGTCCAGTCATGAAGGTCTTAAATCCTTCACAGCATTTGATATCATGGAAAATGGATGGAGAGATAATTTAAAGTCAAATCACAGCAGTCACATACATTGTTACTGCAAACTGCTTTTGATATGTATTTCTAACTAATTTTAAATATTCAAATTTGGATTTGTGACATTGTGATTTAATTAAATTAAAGGAATCCATCTACTTAATGTTCATGTTCCTTTCAACTATTGGTTTAATTTTTTTTTTTATCTATAATGTATTTATGGAGGAATTCCACCTCTCTGATATCACATTCTCCTTTTTCAGCAGTTAAAATCTAAGGCAAGCTTATCTGTATAGCACATTTCAGCAACAACGCAATTCAAAGTGGTTTACATGATGAAAACATGTAAATAAATTAGCTAACCATAACTTTACCTTGGATGTTTGGTTTTGGTTTGCTTTAGTAGGATTATTCTCCAGGTGTCTAAAGTAATTGAGACAGTTCTTCTGTCTCAACTGGAAAATTCAAGGTTTTACATTCAAAAACTAAATCAATGTATTTAAGTGATGGGAGATAAAATGCATTTATATAGTGCTCTTCCAGTTTTACAGGACACTTGCAGTGCTTTTTTATTTACACTTCTCACACATACAAAGACACACAAGGTTTCAGATTGGTAGACAATGTGAAGTTTAGTGTATTCCCTAAGGAGACTTTGACATGCAGTCAGGGGAAGCTGAGAATGAACTCACCAACTTCCAATTGCCAGGCGATTTCTCTCCCATGCTGTTCTGCAGACGCCTCAATAAAAACAGAATTGTCTTAGTCTGTAGTCTATCTGTGCTCTAAATAACTTCCTCAACTTCAGCTGCTGGTGTTGCATCAGCAAGCCACATTGCTCCTGTGTTAGAATTATGGAATCCTGGTCTATTTTTGTGGCTTAATACATTTTGCAGTTAATCTAATTTGCATTTGATGTTGAGCCTGTTTGTGCACAGTACTTTTATTTTTCACATTTTCTGAAACAGGTTTAACTGAGTTAACTGTCTGTTCATAGAATGCTCTTCACGCTTTCTTGTTAAGATGCATTTTCTAGGGGTTTAATCTTGTCTATTGTTGCCAGGTGGTGAATGTTCTGTGTTGTGCTTTTGTCTTCAAAATAGACTTTGATAATGACGGGGCTAATTCGATTAGCTGTGAGCAGGAAAGGGAATTTTCTACAGAAGAGCTGCCTTTGATAAACAAAGACACGAGATCCTAATATGCTTCTAAACTGTCCCTCCAATTTACATGTGAAACCTTACGGTCACTAAGATCTGCATAATGCAGCAGTATATGGGTAGGGAGCTCCCTTTTGTCATGGTGGTGAAGAATGAGGTCAGCCAAAAGGCTAACTTCTTGATTTACTGGACCGTCTACATTCTGACCCTCACCTATGGCCATGAGATATGGATCAGGAATGAAAGCACAAGATCTTGGATACAAAACACCGAAATGAGCTTCATCGTTTGGCCAACTGTACTTAGGATCCCGAAAGATGAATGTCAGCGATAAGACAATGAACTTCATCATCGGGGGCAAAGAGGTCAACTACTTCTCCTCACCGAAAAATGGTTTCCTGTGTTGAGTGGGGCATCAGATAAGGTTGCTTCCCAGGTGGATTTATTTTGAAGATTCTTCAAGTATGCCTCCTGGGAGAGCGGAATATCTGGGTTTCCTTCCTAGCCTTGTTACCACAGCGACGCAATGCTGAATTAGGACGGATGCATTTTTACCTTAAGCTTACATTCTTGTTAAATTGTGACTTCCATGTCTTATGGATACTTAAAATAGCAAAATTTCAACTGCCCAAACAGGCATGCCCTACATGTTAATGTTACTACACATCCACAGCATGCAAGACAAACAACAAAATTTACAAGATACATCCTGATGTCATTTTTTGGTTTGGGGTGTTCTCAAGTCATTAACTGATTCTGTTTGGATAAAAACAGAATCAGTTAATTCTGTTTTATTTCATAAAATGGGTCAAAGATCTCCAGCAGCACAACATTTTGTTGAAGAAAACGCTGTGAATACATTTTTGTGTGCAGTTGGTGAAACGACATGGAGAGATGAAAACCAGAATCCAGTTGAAGATGCAGCACAGCTCACATTTTCTACAGAGCTCCAGCAAAGATATATCCGCTGTGATGCTGAGGGCACAGAGGTGTGTGAAAATCCTTCATCAGATTTCACTCTTATACTAACCAGGAGAAAGATGAGTCGAGTGTTGGTTTACCACTAGATGGAGCCAAAAGTACATTTGTTTTTCTTCATAATTTTTCCAGAATTTTTAGCAGCCGTTCTGTCTATATGCAAAAGTACTTCAATTCTTAAAGATTGTCATTAAATGATCAAAATATTGTAATATGTAATATTTCTAATAATCTCTAGAGGATATGTTTCTTTTTTTTCCCCCCCCACAGACACACAGAATCTATTCTGAACAAAATCAAACTTCACCATCATTGTTCTAACATTCTGTTTCATCCTCCTTCAAAGCTGCAATTTTCTTAGATCTGTGACGCAACATTTTTGTAATTTTAGACGTGTGTTCTGAGATTTATTCAACTAGAAAAGCTGGTTATTATCTTGTTGGCAGACATAGCAGGAGAACCAGCCTCCCACTCCCTCTAAGTCACTTTGCTTCTTCACATCACATGGCCGAGGTATCTCAGCATTCCATACCTTATTGGGCAAAACTGAGATGCTCTCTGCTTGGTCTTAGCTTTGGATTCAGAAGGATTTACTTTATTTCAATCTTTCACTTTTTGACTGATACTCTTTTCTCTCCACCTGCCTACTTTACTTGAAACAACCTTCAGGGGAAGCGGGGAAAGACACGCGGCAAAGGTCATCAGGTCAGGCCCGGGATTCGAACCTGTGACGTGGGTGGTGCTTTACAACAGCACACACTCATCGGTATTTTCTTTAACAAAGAAACCGATCGTGAGTTCCTTGCATGCAATGTGTCATGAATGTGATGCATTGCATGCAAAAACAGAAATTTTGTTTGAGCTGAGTCTAGCTCAGAACTTCAGCTGTCCCCCCGCTTCTGGAATCTGAAACAGAGATCTATTGGTAACATGAGAGCATTACCAAGTGAACTATATCTGTCTGTGATAATCATCCAGAGCGGTGAGGTTCCATGACAGGCTGCCTATTACCGGAGCCAACCTCTACGTGACTCTTTGATGATATGAACAGATTTTCCACTGATTTAACGACTCTGAAAGAGTCAAGTACAGAGCAGGGCATCTAGGAGATTTCTGCTGCTCGATAGTGACGCCCAGGGCCAGCGGTAATATGCCTATCGCCGCAGTGCAGAATCATTTACAACAGGACAGAAATTTGATCTTGCTGGTAGTGGCTCAACCTTCACTATGACATTTGCTCCAGTGCTCCGTTTATTTTTGGTAATCACTAAGTTTCAAACGCTGTATAATGTGAAGGTAATGCACTAAAGCTGTGTTTCAGACAAGGGACAATTCAATATAATTTCAATGTGAGATTCCAGCGCAGGTTCCAGTGGAGTTCAATGCCTCACCATCAATTTAGATAATGCAGTGTATCCTTGATTAATGTTGTCGACTAAATATTCTATATTTTATAGAATATTTTATGACATATTAAATATTTTAATCTGTGAAAAATTAAATAGTTTACTGCACGTACTAAAGGTGCCCGAACATTTTAAAGGGGCCTCTGATAAAACACACAACTTTTTGTTGCACTTATGTTGTTTGTCATAAAATAAGAGCAGCTACATATTTAAATGACTAAAGACAAAGTTCATCATGTACTTTTTTTTTTCTCTCACCAACATGAAAAATATTAAATGAACTTCACCTATGTAGGCTATTTCATATTCATCTGACAATTGAGCCACTGTTTCCCCCTGGCTGTTTTCTTTACGTTTTGTATGACTTCTTTATTTTCAGGTTATAATTGCACAGTAAAAAAAGACCAATGAAAATATTGAGATTTTTTGCTATTTTATTTGTTAAAACTCAAACTTGGAATTTTAAATCACATGTAAAATGACACTGTGTCATACCGGATCAATGAAAAGTTAAATTAGTTATATCTCTTAATATTCACTAAAGGTGAATTAACTCATTTTTAATTCACCTTCTAGAGGAACTCACTGCTAGTGCAACATCCCGAAGCTGAAAGTCACATTACATGTTCTTTGTTAAATTACGAACTTGCATGAATCTGTTGTCTCTCATTTCTCGCCCATCTTTTTTCTGTTTTCTTGATTTTAGCTTGTGCTTTTGTTCAGATGGTTCCTTTCATGTCAGACTTTCTGTTTAATTCCCCTGAGCAAAGATAAGAGACTTTAGGAAGAGCAAGGAGCTGTGAACCTCTCTATAAGAGGAGGAGTGATATGGTTTCAACAAAAATAGGGGAAGAGTGAGAAAGCATTGCAGACTTTTTTATTTTGTGAAGCATTCAGTTGGCTTTCTTGCAAAGAATTTGGCACAAAGATAGCTACCTGCCTCTCTTTCATTCTTTACAAACACTTTTTGCTAATTAAAGCGCAGAGGAGCACTCTTTCCAACTAACCTGAACTGCAAGAGTCAGTGAATCATATCTGTTAGGATGACTAATTGTTTTTCCTTGGCCTAGAAAAATGTTGTGCTTGCACATGAGAATCCAAAGAAATTGTGGAAAGAGAGTACCTAATGCCATGGTTCTCAACTTATCTAGTGGTTACGGAGGTATTAATAGCATTAGTGATACTCAGAAGAAATCTTGATATCAGTGCTGTTTCCAACAGATTGTTCAAGCACCTGAATCGCAATTTTAAAGAGAAACAAATCAAAATACACGGCTATGTAGAGATCTCGCAGTGTAAACTAAAACCGAATAGTAGTGGCTACTTGTTTGTATGAAACAGATGAAACTGGATTAGTCCAAGTTTTAGTGTAGTACAGGTTTAATCTGTCGGTCAGAAAAAAATGGATTGGAAACTGTAGTTTTTACTACGATGCTTTTAGTCTTTATACTAAGCTAGGCTATAAACAAGCTCCTGACTGAAGGTCTGTTAGATCATGAGAACGCCACATGTTGCCCCCCACTACTCCTGAAAACACTGCAAACTATGTGCAAAACATGGACAGAAAACTGTATTTGTACAGCAGCAGAATTCAAACATTTTACAGGAAAATATAGGAACAGAGGCGAAGCTAGTGACATTAACATGTCCCCAGAGCTAAATGAGAGCATCTGACATGAGTAAAAGTGGGCACAGCCTGAAGCCTTGAGGAACCACACATGTGATTGATTAGATTTTTAATTTCCAAATGACACAGAGTAGTCGTGGTCTGCTAAATCTAATCTAGAGGGGTATCAAATAGTTTTGTCCACTTTTTTCCAGTATACCAGGATTAAAAGCTAAGAGAAAAGCACTAAAAATACAGCTTTTCTAATGAAAGATAAGTAATTTGTTTGATACTCTGCTTTTTAAATAATTCTTGAGAAAACATCAGGTTAGAAGTTGCCCCATAATTACTTATTATTTATGCATTGAAGTTATCGTTCCCAAGATGGAACAGTGTTTATGTTTCATCCAAGCTGAATTTAAAACCGAACTGTGAAAATAAAGTCAGCACTGGGGTTTTTCTTCACAGTTTTCGGCCTCAGATCAGGCATATTTTATGAGGAGGAGACATGTCATGAGTGCTTTGTGTTAACATCGTGGAGCACCAACAACCACTCTCCGTCCATGTGTGCAGAGCAGGCATGCACTCAGCACCTCCAGGCTGCTGATGGCTCCTCAGGTAGTGGTTGCCCTTTCTAGAGGAACATAAGCTGCCACAGCCCCCTCCTGCATCTGGCCTTGTGCTCCACCTACCCTCTTATCCCCATTCACATCAGTGGACAATTTTTAGCCCCCACTGCCGAGTTTGTCCGCAGCAGCCAGAACCTCTCTGGCCGACTGCCACAGAGAGCTGCCAAAGCTGAAAAGAGCCGGGAGAAGCAGGGGGCTGGGGTTAGGCGAGGGGGTGGCCAAACAGAGAGAGAGAGAGAGAGAGAGAAGGGAGAAGAGAAAGAAAAAGCATGAGAGGGAGGGAGATGGGTATAACTTTGGGAAACCCAGGAAGAGGCAGCATTGCACAGTTGTTTACTTTAAGCTTCTTTTTTTTTTGGCGAATTTTCTAAAAGTCTTCAACAAGACAAGAAAGCATTTTTGTGCTTGATGTCCTGACTAAATTGTTATTTTCCTTTTCTTTTTTTTCCATCTGGAGAGATTACTTGTTTGATTCATCCGATCATCAGTAAACAAAAAAAAAGGAAAATAAAAACCCACAAATCTGAAAATTTCTCCTAACGTAGCTGTCGTTCAGGCTCGTATCGGAGCTTTAAACTGGACTGGGACACCACGTGTAGCCACACTCTAACACCTGTTGCAAAGGATTCCCCTGGAATGGTGTCATGGACTCCTGTTGCTCTGTTGCCTGAGGGAATCTGCGTGTCTGTTATCTACTGAGCGGCCTTCAGCGAGTGTTAAAGTTGAAGTGTACCTGCCTGTTAAGAGTAGAAGCGGAAGATGTCATCCTATTACCCCCGGACCAAAGACCTGACCCGCACCAGGAAGTCGGTGACAGATTCACCGCCGTCTTCTCCATCCTATACAGACAAAAACTACAGAGTAAGCTTCTCTTCCTAAGATGTGCTTTATTTAAAACATATTAGACTAAATCTGGTTTCTTTTCTGTTTTTGTTTTTTTATTTTATTTTCATCTTAATTATTTTTGCTCTTGAAAATATCGAGATATTTGCAACAATTCTACCTCAAATATATTTAACAACTTAACTTCAGTGTATTATCAAATATTATTCCTCTCTCATACTCTAACACACTAAGCCAATAGTGCACTTTAAATTTCACCTGTCACTAAAAGTTAACTGGATTAGTGTTACATTGGCGTGATTCAGCACTTAACATGGCATGTCATAATCAGCTACTATTCACAGCTTACGTACTAAACCTGTGAAAGGGAGGCGAATGTTTTTTTCTGAAGCGGTCTGATCCTGTTTTCTGGAAAAGGCTGTAGGACTGAAGCATTCCTTCTGTAATTTCCTGTTGCTTTTTTTTTTTTTTTTCCTGCTTTAAGTGGCCTATTCTCCTGGGCGTAGTTTGACTGTTGTGTTTATGTCAGCTGGAGTCTGTGTGACACAGACATTTCAAGAAAATAGGAAGGAGGAAAAAGGGACACAATGTGATTCTGTCTATCTAGAAATGTATACAGGAACATCATGCAACGCTGCAGACGTTCTTGTTGTTGCGCGGTTGCCAAAAGTACATGTTGTCACTCCCTAGAGAGGATTCTGCTCTCTTTTATGGAAGTGTCATTCCTCCTTTGCTTTGTCCCTGGTAAAACGCAGACACTAGTTTTCCATGATGTCAGCCTTGTCTGAAATGGCAGAATTTTTTTTTTGCTGGAAGGGAAAACGCTGAGGGAAAGTGATAGATGGGTGATTAGAGCGCTTGCTGTACATTGCAAAGATTTTTGATAGGTTCAGTAAAATTTGAGGCTTTACAGCTATGGATCAACATGAACACAAGCAAACAAGTGTTAGCACTGCTGCCTGCTGCTGTCATCCACAAACAGCAACGATAATATCTTAATCAAATACTTGAAGCATGAATAAAAATGAGTTTGAGCTTATCCTTAATTTTAAGAAATCCGCTGAATATGAATGGAAGATAAGATATTTATCGCTATATGAAAAAAAAAAAACTACTCAATTTAAAATAACCTTTTAGACATAATCCTTGACAGACTTTGCTGGAGATAAAGTGAAGAATGCTACAGTGTAAGATGCATAGAAAGATGATGCTGGAGTATTATTTGTAGAAGTGCTTATTAATCTATGCAAATGAACTACAATGCAAATGAGCAGTAGTGTGACAGGGAGTATCACCTGTGTAACTATGAAGATTTTTCTTTTAAATTGCACGAAACTGTAAATAAAAATAAAAAATAGATAAAAGATAAATAAAAAAAATCTGTTTTGAAATAATTTGAAAAGATGAAATGTAAATCTAGTTTTCTCTCTGGTCTAAGCTGTTCTTTAGTTCTGAACTTTCTTGACTGAACCTGTCTCTAAATAATGCCCTGTTAGTTATGGAAGTTGTTTGGATTTGTTTTTTATAATAAATAGCAACCTTGAAGTTTCAAAGTTCCACCACACTTAAAGATTTTTTTTATATAATTTTGCAATAAAATGTTGAATCCTGTTTTATTTCCACATGTTATAAAAGAAGAGGGAAATCACTGTTCTTATTCATGTATTTTCTTCATTCAATAATTCAGCTTCATGCATTCCACTGAGAGAACAAAATTTTTAAGCTCCAAGTTGAAAACCCTTGTAAGGTATTCTGTTGAAATCTTAATTCTAGTTGGGGAAAATAAGCTGCCTGGCGAGTCGTATTCACTTCTCAATTTTAAGAAATCAGTCATTCCTAGAAGTTTGTTTAGGCGATACATGATTTAACCAATTACAGATCATTTAATGTGAAATACACATTAAATTGCCCTCAGGAACGAAGTTTGGTTCATAACCCTACATGAAGATTTTGTGATGATTTATTCTGACTACGAGGGATCCAGTCACCCCGGTTGATTAATGCATGAATGCCAAGTCCGATCGAGCAATCCTCCTGTTCCTAAACAGACGAGAGAGAAAAGGAAAGTAGAATTTTGTTCCCAGTTTCTTCCTTGGCTCTTTTTCATCTGAGGCCTTTTAAGTCTGCCTTTTCCTGGATAACTGTGCAAAAGCACATGACCACATAAGGACAGGCAGCGGCTGCTAGGCTTAGTTATGTAAACACTTGCTGCAGAACAGCTCCTGTGACTCCTTGTGAAGGATCTTCATGCTTCAGCAAATGTGAAAACTAGGATAACAGGTACTTTGACATAGATAGGAGCCATATTTCTTTAGCAAAGTAACCATCTGAAACATGAGTTAAACATCTCTGACCGATGTGTAAAATAGTTGTTAAAAGAAATATCTAAACAAAACTATTAGTCAAACAATTTCACAACAGTTTTTTTTTTTTTTTTTTGCTAGTATTGTGATTGCTGACACACAGAGGACAAATTAAAGCCAGCTGTATTCAGGTGTTTTCTAAAGTGTTAGTATTTATGCACTTTTTCTTTACAGTGAAGCCATATTACTGAATTTTATGTGATACAGGAACACAAACCTGTGAAGTGAAAGGAAAATGACACATGACACAAATAAAACTCTAACATTTGTGGCATACCCAACCCCATCTACTCTAATATCCCTAAATAAAATCCAGGGCAACAACACCACTATTAGTTTTGCATTCAGCAAAAAATGGCTTTAATGGAAATGGCCAAAACAAAACCAGAATTAAAGCAAAGTCATGAAAGCTCCCTTTCACATGCATTATGGGACAATGACAAAATGTGTAAAAGAGTCAGAGATCAAAATTTAAAGTTATAGCCTATATCCAAAATGTGCATGGAGGAAACCAACAGTAACTATGAACTTCACCTGCATTGGCAGCGTCATTCTGTGGTTTTGTTCAGTAAGGACTGTAACGATGGTCAGACTACACCCAAGTAGAAGCAAAGTTGTGTGTTGGAATGTTCAAGTCAAAGTGCAGACCTAAATCTAATTCACAGCCTGTGGTGGAACATCACATTTGCTGCTCACAAACTCTCCTTCCCATCTAACTGAGCTTGAGCTGTTTTGCAAAAGTGAGGAAAAAATAAAAATCCCAACTCTGTGCTGCTACACATAGATTATTGACATAAAATTCTATAAGAAAACGTCAAATTCAAAGTTAAAGAGTCATGAGTTTTTGCCAGGTGCTGTACATATCTGCCACTTTACACAGATTGCCCCCCAATGCTCAAGCAAATACAAAATGTGGTCACAATAGTGAACTTGGCAGCCATGACAGGACTCCTGACAGCACAACCCTTCCAGGCCAGTTTGATATCTGCCAGTTGTTTGGGGTCAGTCGGTGGCCTGTCATACTTCACTCCTGATGTCATGATGTCATCTGTGTGCCGCTGTCACTGTGGAGGCAGCAGTTACCTAATTTAGAAAGCTCAACCAGGCTCAGGCGGCATGACATTTGTGAAACATTTTTTGGGATTATATCTCCCTTCTGCACATTTCCTCCTGGTCCCATGGGCTCCTGAGCAATGGAGTCATAATTTGACTCTCAAACTTCCTTATTGTTCTCCTTTTCTCTCAAATGGAAAATATTTCTCTGCTGAGCCTTTGTTGAGTCCTATCAAACAAACAAATCTGGATCCACTTCAGAAATGTTTACACTGTGTTGTTCTCATGATGCGATTCTGACTGATCAAACTAACATGTCTTTTTTTTTTTTTTTTTTTTCCCAGCATGAAAGACTGTCGAGGTAAGGAAAAAAAAAAACTTTTATTTTTGTTCTTTTAATAACATATAGCTCCATTGTGTACTGAGATGGAGCTGTGTTGACTTCAGATACGATTCCACCGGAGAAAACGCCACAGACAAACCTATGGGCCGCACCAGTTCGTACACGAGGAGAGAGACGAGGCTGGCGGCTCTGAATAAACAGGAGCAAGACTCCACTGCCAAAGACTATAAGAAGGTAGCAAGTAACCCAGGCCTCGGTTACAAACACACTTCTTCCCTTCAACAGGCTCAAAGCTGCTGCTTTGAACACAGCCTGACTGCCCACACCTTCATTTTTATAACCCTGTGAAATTTAATTGGACCTAAAAGGAATATGAAGAACAAGCATGCAATTATTGTGTGTTTTCTAAAATATTTTGCACATGTAAGGTACATAGAATATGACATATATGTTTAATGGGGCCATAAAGTGGCCTGGACCTCAAACTGACAGTACATTACAGATGAGTTCTGGTATTTTGTCATGCTACAGCAATAAATCTTGAATTACAAGTAATGTAATTTTTGCCCCCCTTATAAAATGGCAGAGATATTCACTCTGAGCAATTTCATCTGGATCCGAATTTTCATTTCCTTACTTCCTTTCATCCTGTACATTTTATGGTCACTTTTGTTAAAACCGAGTGTTGAGGAACTTTTGATCCAGTAATCCAGTACTTCTTGTTTTATTGATTTAATTTCTTATTCACACGTCAGAATGTGAAAAACAAAGCAAACAAGCCAATGCATGGAAGTCAGACCCAGCAATTGCTAATAGAAATTGATATATTACAAATTCCACTTGTATAAACAAGGTTAGAAGAATTTTTAAATAGTTAAAAAAATCCTGTAACTGCAACAAACAAGGTTGAACAAGAACCCCAGTTTATATTGCCACTACGCAGACAGAGGAGGTTGGTAAGGGAAGCAAATATACTTGTAAACTTCACTGTTTGAAAACTGCAGCATTTTTTTTTCTGCTTGAGATTATTTGAAAATGTCTATTTTTTTCTAATCTGTCTTTTGTTATGTTTATCCCCCCACCCCCCCTTTTTTTTTTGTCTGTTCAGCTGAATTTGTGTTTCAATACAAAAGTGATTCAAAGTTTAATAGCATGTAATCTGTTTCTTTTTGTTTTAGATGTACACAGAAGCTTTGCAAGAAAATGAAAGGCTCAAGTCCAGACTTCACGACAGCAAACAAGAGCTGGTGAAGATTCGCTCTCAACTGGAGAAAGTTGCTCAGGTGCCAATCTTTCAATTTTTTTTTAAAAGAATTTGAGAAGACACGTCAGGAAATGGGAACAAAATTGAAATGGAAAATGGAAATGGAAAAAAAAAAAAGGTCCCATCACATATTTCCCAATAATGCCAAAGTCATGACTGTGAGACTAATTGGTCACTCTCTTCATGGTTATCTGTCCTGTGGTGAACTGGCATCGTGTCCAGGGTCTGTCATGCTTCTCACTCAATGACTTTTAGAAATAGGCGTCCTGCAGCTCTGCAAGGACACGCCGGTGTAGACAATACCGACGGATGGAACTTTCTTACCACTCTGATTGATTAAGCCAAAATTCTTTAACATCCGCTTTTCAAACTTACAGAGGCAGGACAGAATGTCCGAGCGATCCACCGTTCTTGAAACAGAGAAAAGGGTGAGTAACTCATGCCATTTAAATTCATTATGCTATATCACTAAGTGAGTGAACATCCTGATGTTTTTATGGCTTCCCAGCCTTCAACATCCCTGTATTTAATTTCTTTATGACATCCAGGAAAAACAAGCGCTGGAGAAAAGAGTCACAGACATGGAGGAGGAAATAAAGGTCAGTCCTTGCATCAGTAAATGTTGTGCACCCACCCTGGGATTATATGGCAATCATTTTGTCTCAGACACATGCTGGGCTTCATTTCTCTTATTGATGTTTTCTCCGAAAGCCTTAACTAACTAACAGTCCTTGACAGTACACAGCTCAAGCAAAGCTGCTTCCACTGCTGCTAAAGACTGCCTGTGAATAGTTTTCCCAGAGCGGAGTGCACATATAGCCCCCTGTAGACTCTGTGGTCGGCCAGGTGGGTTCGAAGTCAAGGGGAGGAGAAGGTTAATGCTCCAGGCTCATTAGCCACACTGTTATGCTGGGCTACTTTCTGCCTTGTGTTGCAGCTCCCCTGCTCCAATTCTCCCACTGTCGGGGTGAACATTGTGACCTAGTTCCATTCGAATACCAAAATCCGTCCAATTGCAAAAGGCCTTCTTTTGTGAGACATTCCAGAGTGCATTCTGCCTGACACAGAAACGCAGGCGACGGCAGCAGGCAACTTTCAAGCCTGAGCGTACGCAGACAAAGGATTTGAATTTGTACTTAAAATCAAATACATTTTACGTGTTATTAAACTTTGAATCGATTTTTCTGCTAAGCTGTAAATATTTAAAGGCATGGCTGAGATGTGAGAAAAATCAAATGTGAGCAAAGAATGGTAGAAATGTAGCAAAGAGCAGTCTGAGATGGAATGATGTTTTATCCACGTGTCATCCTGGTTCCCCTCAGCAGACTCCCCCACTGCGCTTCCGCTGTGGGTACCAGCCCTGAGAAGGGGCTTTCTCAGGGAGGGGGGATGGTGAGTGCTCGCCCTGATGTTGATGAGTGATCAAAACCCACCCTTCACCTCACACGTTCTGCTTTTGCCAGGGATTGGGGCATGCACACACACACACACACGCACACACACTTGGACGAGTTGTCTTACTCCCTGTATAAGAACTTCACTGTTTGAGCGTCACAACTTTTGCTCCGAAGCACCTCAGTCAAGCCACTCTAGTTTGCACCTCTGCCACAGCTATTTGTTCGTACTGAGCGAGCTGCAAGTCTTCCAACACAAGGGGGAACTGTTGAGCTTCAGCAAGCAGCACTTAAAAAGTAGCATCTCCAACTTGTTCGTAGAGGTGCAACTTAACAAGTCAGAATATACTTTAAGCATGTATTTCTGCGCATTTTGATGATCGTGGCAGTTTCTGCAGAAGTGTTAAGGAAGCCTGGGTTGCTTTAATAGTGTCTTCCAACTCATCTGCATTCTTGGCTCTGGTGCCTCTCATCCTTCTCTTGGTACTTTTTAGCTTCTCTACGATGTTAAAGTCAGGCGAGTTTGCTGGCCAGTCACCTACAGTTTTATAATGCTCATTTAACCAGGTGTTGCTACTTTTGGCAGTGTGGATAGAAGCAGTTCCCTGCGTTTTGACTTGATAGAACCCAGTAGATCTGCAACAGCGCATAACATAGCTCCCCGAATGATCATTGGCTGTGGATACTATACACCGAGCCTGAAGCAGCTTGGAATCATTTCCTTTCTTCCCTCAGAGCCTGCTGGGACCATGATTTCCAAATAAAATGCAGAATTTATTTCCATCTGAAAAGAGGTTAACTACTGAGGTGTCTGGTTCAAAAGAGATTTAAATAAAGAAATGTAACAGCTATAACCCAAAGCTGTTGCTCGGGCACCATTACGACCACAGTTTTGTCTTTTACTGAACTTCGTATCACTGTGCTTGGATAAAATGCTCCATAGACAGCCAGATTATTTTGCAATAATGATTTGTTACTTAACCTCTTGGACAGCCCGCTTGGAGGACTGTGATCAGAAGTCTTTCCCATGACGGTGAAGGTCATAAAAGCACATTTTTGTAGTAAAAAAGATTTTTATTTGGTTTTATGTTACGTTTTTATTACTAATCTGAAAAATTGTGTTTTTTGGTTTTCATTAGCTGTAAGCCCTAATTATTGAAGTAAACAAAAATAAATGTGAAATACAAACAAACTTGCAGAGTTTTAGCTTCTGTATGGGAGAACTGTCTACCAGCTTTAATGGTGGATATTTTTACTGATATTATGCCTGTCCAGCTTAAAACTTAAACAAATCAACATTCATTGCCATTAGTAGCCAGTCAAGTTTCCAAATTCATGAGGCTCCTACGCTCCTTGCCAATACTGACCAACACATTTTTATCTTCTTTATCTTTTGTTCTTTAGAATAGGGATACACTATTGGTCGTTCTAAGCTCTAAAAGTGAAAGAGTTTCAACTCTGGTTATTCCTACTTTACAAAACAAAACCTTTCCTGTGTCTTTAACCTCTTGCAGAAAACCTAAATTGTTTTTGACATAATCAGAAGAATCTGTGGAACCTGAGAGTCTTGTTCTTGCTTACTCAGAATCAAAGGTCTGAATTTTAACAGGATGAATAAGGGATGCTGGTCATTACATATTCTCACCTCATTCTGACTTTTTCCTCCTGTTTTGCCAAGGACTTGGAAAGCTGGCCAAAGGCTGAAATGGTTTGTTCTAATGCCAGGAGAACATTATATGCTTGAGCTGTTAAGCTTTAAAACCAGACTGTTTTGAATTAGGTTTATGAGTCTGTTTGGGTGTTATTTGAAGTAGTTGGGGCTTTAATGTAAACACATTAAAAAAAAAATGTCTTTTGTATTCACAACAAATGTGTTTGTGGGTGGCCTGGGATTTTTTTTTTTGTAACTTGTCTGGGGATCACATGATGAAATCGATATCAATTTGTCAGAGTGAGTGTTGTAGATTTCCATTGACTCCATCTGTCTCACTTGCGTGGTTTGCCCACGGGCGCAGCGTCAAACCGTAGACATTTCTTTCAAACCGCATTGAGGTTAACCTCAAGAAACCAGGCCAACATTAAAGAGGAAGATGATTCATTTCACTGCTGATTAGTTTTATTCACTGAACTCTTGTATAAAGGCGTAGCGAGTGTGTTTTCTGAATTTCACTGAGCAATGATTTAAGGTCAGTTTTAAACAGTACATGTCTCATCGTTTCTCTTGCATGTTTTAGCTTTTCTACACTTTTTTCAAATGATCCCTCGTGTGTAAATATTTGTTCTTGTCAGTTTTTTTTTTGTTGTTTTTTTTAAGTAAGTTTCTGCAGCTGAGCTGACCTCATTTCCTCTGTGTATGCATGCTTGTATGAGTGGACATGGACCCTGTCACTGTCCGTGTTTCTTTCTGCTTTTTGCTTCCTGCCTGCTCTCTCTGCCTGCTCCTCTCTATATCTCTCTCCCCATGTATGCAGGCTTTCCCTGCCCTGGCCCAGGTCCAGGCTTTGCGGAGAGTCAACGAGTGTCTCCTGGCTGAGAACAGAGCCATGCTGCGTGTCCTCACCCGCCTCTCTGAAACGGCCTCCATGCCGGAGACAGAGGACCTCTGATCCTTGGGATCGTCTGGCCTTGATTTCCTCCCTGCTGTCCCCCTTCCTGCGCCGTTTAACTTTTACACTTCTCTTTCCTTCTGGAGCTGTCACAGCTTCCGCCTCTCCTCTTCCGCTGTCCTCCCCTCAGGCAGGTCCCGTCCCCTTTTGGATGATTGCTGTTTTGCATGCTTGCTTTTTCACCCGGTCTTCTTTATAGTATTAAAAGGGCAACTTTCTGCCACATTTGTTATTAACATGGGTATATTTACATTCATGCTAATTTAAAATGACTAAAACAAAATTTGCTCCCTGTTGCTTGTGTAAAGGGCTGACCAGTTGTATACAAATGCAAGCTTGAAGAGCATTTGTTGATGTTTGCAGGATATGTATGATTGGAAGTCTAATCAATACAAGCATTGCATTGTATTTGGCTTTCCTTAATTTTGCGCATCACTGTAGTGGACATACACTTTTTAAATGTAAATTACAACTTAGGTTAAAAGGCTGTAATTTATAGGAAAACTTCATATCACACACTCATTCATTATCATTAAATCATCAGTGGGTTGCTGGATTGATAATGATAATGATTGCCTTTAAACACCGATACACTTACTTGAAGCTGTAATCTTCTCCTCAGGGCGCGTCTGCTTGACAAGAAGGAACAACCCATGAACAGCCTTGAGCAAAGACAGACTTAACATTTACGAACTCGGATCAGGCTGTAGCATTTTTGTGCCCAGAGCTTAGATCATGAACAAGGAAGTTCACAAAAGGCTTTTATCTAACAAAAGAACAAATGGCACATACAGCTGGCAAAAGGCCATCATTTCATTGGTGTTGAGATGGGCACATACCTTGCTGATAATTTTATATTCTTCAGTTATAAACCTATATATATATAGATATATGCTTATATCTATATATAATTGGAACAACATGGAAATTTAACTGGATGTTAAATTTCCATGTTGACATTTTGCTGTATGAACCTGCAATCTATTATGGGACAAAGCTATCCAAATTAACCTGACTTTATATGAAAATATAATTGCCCCCTTGTTTGATCATAAAAAAATATTTAGGAAAGGTGAGTTTTGCTTCTCTGGGCATATCCAGGAAGTTGATGCCAGACCTGTATAATCAATAAATGATTTAACTAGAAGCTGTCAAATAACATGTCTTTGACACTCCAGCAAACCACAGTGAAAACCAACACAAGTAGAGAAACATGGAGCAGCGTTGAACTGTCACAGGAGGTTTTTTTTTTTTTTCCAAGACAGAACTAGTGACTCATTCAGCAAGTCCCTAAAAAACCCTGAACAAAATCTAAAGCACCGCAGGCCTCACTTACCTCGTTAGAGGTCAGTGTTCATGAGTCGACAATAAAAAAAAAAAAAAAAAAAAAAGAAAAATACATGCATGGGAGAGTTCCAGGCCCAAAACCACTGTGTTTACCCAAAAACAACAGTACGGTTCACCTCGCATTTGCCAAAAATCAGTGTGCCGGACGATTCTAAAAGTAGAATATTTCCCCAAAGGTTATGGGGCAAGTATTCTGTATTGTGCATATTAAGACAAAAGTATCAACAGAAACATAGTGATGGTATCAGATAGCTTTCTTTTGGAACAATCAATTCTTCTCCCCACTAAAATAATCCGAAAGAAAACTTCTGCCCTACAGTCTGTGTGAACTAATGGTCAGTTGCTCTTCAGTTACAGGACCTGACACTGATGCAAACCACACCGGCAGGTAAAACTCAGGAAAAACTGGAAAAAAATGATGGTCGCGAGGTACTCTTGTCAAATTCTGTACTTAAGTCTAATTGATATTTTGTAGTATATGAAACTGAACCACAAAATTCTGCAAAGATTTCAACACAACGATGTTGAAAACTCATTCACAGTTAATATAGTTGCTTAATTGTCTCAAAAGGTGGCACAACCAGTTATTAGGATTAGGGGGGAAATTACTTTATCACAAAGCATCTGGCTGAAATGAAATTATTTAAAAGTTCAATTTTGTAGTTATTCAAGGTTTAAGTATTTAAGTATTAAAAGAACTGAATCCAGCTTTAAGGGGGCAAATACTTTTCCATGGCACTCCACAGGTGTGTCCAGTGGTAGTGTTGCCCTCGGGGTGGACAGATCACCTCAATATATATATTTATAAATATATGTGTATATGCACATATATACATGTAGAATGTCTTTAATTCGGGGGATTTTCCCTTTATGTTTCGATTGGAGATGACTTAACATGCATTTGTATGAATTGAACGTGATTCTCTGGGGTGGACAGAGGGGTAGCCACCTCGACCCCTCGCTGTTTTCAGATATGTGTCGTGTTGCATGATCAAAGGATTCAAAGGATTATTTGTCTCCTTTAAGGGGAATATATTCTGAAGTCAAAGTTCCTCATCAGACTAAGATTTAGAAACTTGAGCTTTTCTCTCTTTTGTTAACGAGTATCTCATACCTCGTCTCTATGCATACTGTTGTCACACTTCTCACTGCATGATCATCTTCTAAGCATGCTCTCATTACCTATTCTCAGATTCTGATGAAACCTTTGGCCCACTTGTTAATACTGCTAGAGTCGTTTCTTATTGCACTTGAAACAGTGGGCGAATTGGCCATTGCAATACTCGATGCTTTGTATCGCAAACGTCTTCAGTAGCTACTAATATTAGCTTCCAAATATGCACAAGGTAAACGGGGCATTTTCTAATTTTGTGTCTTTCCTTTTCCCTCCTCCAGGTCCTAACCGAACTCAAGTCAGACAACCAGAGGCTAAAGGATGAGAACGGAGCTCTCATCCGAGTAATCAGCAAACTGTCAAAGTGAAAAGATGTCTGAAGCTTTTGTTCTCGTGCTCCAACCTTGATTCAGCAGTTTAATTATTCACAAGGTTCCATGTTTTACCTCCTCTATGAGTTATTGATAGGCCACCTTTGAAGCTCTTGTAGACGTAGATCTTGAGCAGACTCACTTCAGTTTTCTCACCTTATAATTATTTTCTTATATTACATAGTATATATTATTTATAGTAGATAGTACTTTTCACATCCACAAACAAGGGAGCAGGTGTACTATTTGGACTGCAGTGTCTCTGAAAACTTAGAAATACATTTGAACTTTTCCCATACTGTGTGATATCACACTGATGCTTCACTTTTGTTTATACTCTTTGCAGCACATGGTTTTAATAATACTTAAATAGTCTATAAGATTTGATCATTTTACTGGAACATACCAATGGACTTGGGAATACATTTTTAATATTTTCTCCCCGATTGTGTTTTTTTTCTCTCTCTCTCTCTCTCTGAAAGATAAAACTTTGTGGTTATAGGTTCTGGTTGATATTGTTTGATGCATCATCCAGATGAAGGACAGTTCAGTGGCCTACAAATGTTGAATTTACATTTATATCTTCAGCACACACACAAAAAAATCATCTTATGAGTTACAAAAATATTTTGTTTTCACCAGAATACATAAACACCCCTGAATCAGATGTTTTTTTTTTTATAATCCATATATGTCATATTGAAAAAAACTAAAGCCTAAGGAGGTATTTCTGTAAATAAAGAAGAAAGACTGATTATAATGTATTTATTAATAAAAATATATATATTTTATTTGTACTGCAGGAGACGGGGTTGATGTGATGGCTGTCCTTGTTTGAAATAATAAAAAATGAATTGTAAAACCAAAAACAAAGTCCTTGCCCAATAAAATGTTTCTGAATTGCCAAAGCAACTGTTTATTTTTTAATCTAAAGCGTCATCCCAATTTCATTAAAATTTAATTTTTTTTTTTATCAGAATTGTCACATCTTTAACTGTAAGTTACCAGATTGTCTACAGCAGTGGTTTCAAGTTTGCAAGAGAAATTCACAACATCTAGACTCGGGGGGGTAAATTGGATTGCTATGTAACCAACCCTCACAGGAAATTAAAAACATTGCAAAGCTATTTGCTTGTGTAATATCTCTGAAGGCCATATTGACTGAAGTTGTGTTTTTCAAAGTTTATTCAGACATACTAGGTTGTATTATTGACTTCCATTCATTTTACTAACTGCATTTATAAATAACCCAGACAATTTTCCTAACCCTAACCCTATACAAAGGGTCCACCGTATTTAGACTGGGCTTTGGTCTGCCATATTTACTACAGACCTTCAGGTTAGTAAATATGGCAGAAATGGTCTGAATATTATATCTGAACAACTACACACATTATAGACTGTTTCATGTATCGTCTGAATAACATTAAAGGTTTTTTCTTCCTTGTTTAATGCTAGGTTAATGTGCTTTTTGTAAAAGTGCATACTCCCTAAGAACAGAAGATATTGTTCTTTTATTCTAGGCTAAGAACAAAGTTCTTTCTTGCTGGGACTTTTCGTACTTGATTAGAACTACTGGAAAGAACCAACTGGGTTGTAGCATGTCTGTATAGGAACCACGCCCACTTCCAGTTTCGGACCGCACAAGATCTGTCGGACACCACACAAGAAAAAATGTTCTACCACGAATACGTAATAAGAACAGATGGGATAGGATGTATAGTTTTCTTCAACATTGATGGGGGAGATGGTCAGAGTTAATGGTAACATAGATGGAGCTGTGTTGCTCCTGCCTGTGCTAAATCCACTACTTTAAATGGGTTAAAAGCGACTGATAGCTTGGTATGGAATAGCGTAACCAAAGGAAACATCAAAAGATCAAGCGCCTTTGTGAGATAAAACATACTGCATAGTAAACACATACAACTCATGGTTATTAAAAGGCCTTTATTTCCTATTTGTTTTTACAGAACTGGCAACACATAAGATAAATTTGTAATAAGTTATTTGGTTCCCTTGATAACTTCAGAAGGATCCCCAACGTATGTCCACATAAGGGTCGAGAGGAGTTTGTGAGCAACGTTTGTGTCCAGTCAAAGGCTAAAGCATGCGATCCACAGTAGGCACAAGTACTGACATGAACACGCGCACCACAACACTAGACACGAAGAAACACAGCTAGGGGACGTAACCTGACTGTCCTCCGATGCTTTAAAAGAGGATGAAGAGAAGAAGGTGAAGCTGGGAAAACAAATGAGTCTCGAGAAAACAGCTGCATGATGGAACAGAGGTGGAGAACTGAGTGCTCAAGGGGGGAGGTCGGTACGGCCCTGCATGTTTGGCAGTATACAGTATGTCCATGTTGTTAACATGAAGGCCGGTGGTTCCTTATGCTCTGCAAAAGCAGATTCAGGCTCCTATTCACCTCGATGACAGTGACGGAATCGGCTACACAGAAACCAGACAAGGACACAAACAGAAAGCAAATGAGGAGAGAGCATGGAGACACGTCTGTGCCGTCGCTTCAAACACAGCTCCACATTCTACATCGGGGATACACAGAATAAAAGAAAAAATAAACAACAAAAGTGATTACGCCTATGCACAAAGAGAGCAAGAAGAAATACAGCAACTGACAAGAGAACCAGCATGTTTCAAAGCAGCGCCTTTACCCGCTGCAGGTCTCGACATCACGTTTCGACTGTCAAATGGACTGAAGTTTCCCTTTTTAAATCCCAGTGTTTGTTTAAAAAAAACAAAAAAAACAAGACAGAAACAAATCACACATGTGTGAACGGTGTTCTAAAACTGTCTTTGCACAGCTGAAGCAGGGCGACCGCAGATGCATTTGTGCATAAGTACATACACTCGGCAATCAGGGAAACAGATCACTAGCCATTTTTAAACCATAAAGCTTTTATTTTTACCGTGTTACTCATACATAAAAAAATAACAATATGCATGCAGACTTGTACCGAGAGTAGCATAATCTAACTCTGTGATTTTAAGCAATGTTTTGGACATTTTATTATTCCACATACACAAGAACACAATCACAGCTCACCAGTCTCAGTCCACCGTATCGTCTGAGGATCTTGTGTATGTGTGATGACCCAGGCTTCAAGAGGAAGCAAAGACGTTTGTAAATGCACCATGAATGTACCTTTGAATTTTTTTTTTTTAATATTTGGTGCCTTCCTATTGTAGTTCTCCTGTTATATTGGCTGTGCAGAGTTAAACTGTGGAGATAAATGCTGGCAGGTGTAATCAGGTGGTGGCAGTATTTCTAAAACACACTGAAACCTGCTCTCAGTGCATCATTTGGTCACAGTCATTGGTATTGATGGGACAGTGATTGTTGCTGTATTGCGTTAAGACAATGTGGAGCAGCAGTTTTATGCAACACATTGAAGATTGTTGTCATGACGGACGTGGCAGTTCAATTTAGGAAACTTCAGCAACTTACATCAAACAAAATATTAAAAAATGCTTCAACATTTTGGAAAATATGGGCTTGTTTGCTTTCTTGCCAAAAGTTAAAGGAGAGTTGAAGCCACTTTCTCACGTTATCTAGATGAAATGTTAAAATGTTTGGTACCAAACCCCTGCTTAGGAGAGAAGTCAATCCAAAGAGCCCATTTTTTCTCTCTCTGTAAAATGAAATTAGCCTAGAGCTGTAAAATGTTGTTGACCCGTTAAAAATATAACATTTTTGTAAAGTTTCCTATGTAAAATGAGGAATAATTCTATATAATTCAAAAATAAATTAATACATGTTTAAAACTGGCTTTACTTTTCTATTGATTTTCTTTAGTTATTGTGAAAAGGAAAAGAAAACCCTTAAATGTTCCAGATTACGTTTCAGTTAAAGTGTAAAACATTTTTATTACATTTTTACTTTCTTCTCCTTCTTTTTAAACGTTCTCTGAAAAAGTATGAGGTAAGACTATTGTTTTAAATCTATTTGGCTTTACTGTAAAAGACTGAACATAATTTGTATCCTGTAATGTTAAAATTCCTGAAATAAACATGTTTAATGTCTCAGGTTAAAAAAAAAAAAAAGGTTTATTGCTAATTGTTTTGTGGACATGGTTTCACACACCAACAGCCATTTTATAAACCTGTAAGCTTTTCTCATTGAGCAACATCAGCATATGCAGATGTGTGAGGTTGTCATTTATGTAACTCAGGGCAAGAAAGCAAGTTGTAGAGTTGTAGACACAAGTCTGAAAAATAAACATATGCATAGTTCTGTGGGAGGGATACAGCCTTAAATTTTAGGTTTTAATTTTTTTCTTTCAGTTTATTCATTCTTACTGAGCAGTTGATTAAAAAAGAGCAAAAACTGTTGCTAATAGCCTCTAAAATAATGCAAAGGTTCACTATTATTATTATTATTATTATTATTATTATTATTATTATTATTATTATTATTATTATTATTATTATTATTATTATTATTTGATTGTGTAAGTTCTTTTTCTCAAACTGGGAGAACAGAAACTAGCAGCTTGACCCAGTTTGCGTCACAAATTGCACTCAGCCCTAAAATAGAACACACTCCCACACATATAGTTTTACCCTTATTACTCAGAATTCAATGTCATAATATATTGTAAATATTATCTATTTATGCTAATCAAATATGACCAAACACAATCCTGTAACGATGACACCAGCCTCTCAAAACAAAACAAACAAACCAAAAAAACCAAAAAAACACTTGCTCTCCTGAATTGGCAGCTGTTCTCCACGCTCACACAGACAGTAGAATGGTTTTCTCCCTCTGGTTGAACAAAGACTTTAGAAAAAGGAATGCGAGAAGGAACATTATTCATGGAAAAATGAAGACGTCAGATTTTTTCGTTCCCTCCCAAATAAACTCTAGCTGTTCAGCAGAGCTCTAAAGAGTTAGTGCTTGAGTTTTATGGCTTTTAGTTGTTTTCATCTTATTAATTTATTTTGTTTACAAGTACACCCATTGTATAGTAACAGAGTAAAAGAGACACAATCTGCAACATGTATCAGGTCAGTCAAACAGAAAGAGGGAAAATAATCTTCTGATTAAAAATGATAGTAATAAAGAGAGACAGAGAAAAAGAGAAAGAGAGAGAGAGAGAGAGAGAGAGAGGATTCCAAGTCATTTGTGTTCAGTGGAAAAGGGCTTATTCACAGTTTGGCCCTGGAAATCCCGCCTAAGATAGGATATGGTCCGTATGACTTTAGTCTTGGCTAGTGCTGGCATAAATCACTCCTAGAATCAATTTAATACATTGTTTTTCCAAATGAGCTATTCCAGAATAGCATCAAGTTTAATCTGCATTACTTACTTAAAAATAAGAGAGAAAGAAACAGTCCTGCAGACTTGGAGATCCCCTGGTTGAAATAAAATGTAACAACTTTCTAATTAAAAAAAATAGAAACTGTAGCATAATTAACAATCGCTAATATTTTCAAAAGGTACAGTAATGAAATAAATGGCAAATAAATAGTGCAAAAAAAAAAAAACTGAGCACAAGGAATTTACATAGCAAGCATGCGGCTACATTTTTCTTCCTACATGAACTCACACACAGCACTGGACGACACACTTGCTTAAGAGTTTTCAGGCGTGGAAAGATTCCTATTTGTAATAGTACTCTAATATTTGCATGACATTCTCTCCAATGACCCTCATGGAAAATAAATACACACTTTGTTCTATTTAGAAAATATACAGTGCATTTTTTTTTGTTTCAGTTTGCTATGTTATTAAAATGGCAAATGACACCCATTTAACGTACACAAGTTATTTTTGCGTCGTCTCTAAAACATGCTCTTATGTACAGTAGTTCTTATAAACATGCAGTATCAACGTGTATGAACTATGTATATAGGCAAAACTACACACCAATGAGTTGCTTGATTGCTTCCATGTTGCCTTTTTCTTTAGTGTTGCTTTAAAAACAAAGAATTGTGCAAGATGACAAACAGAAATTTAGTTTTGATTGTTATCTATATAAATATTAAAAAGAAAACAATTAAAAAGAATGAAAAAAACATAAATTTCAACCCCCAAAAAAATGCTGTCAAATGTTTGTACCTGCATTTGCTATACAGAAAGCTAACTGGAAGTTTTCTTGTGAAAAAGCATAGTGGGCTCCAAATGCTCACAAAACCTAATAAACTTTTAACTGACTTTATTCACGGGTGATGAGCTCTAGTAGTGTGTTGTCTGTTGCAAGCCCAAGTTTTCACTCAAAAAATGTCTGTCAGAATCTAAACGTACAAATATAAAGAGCCAAATGGTCCCAGTGATATTTGTAACAGCCAACAATTGTAAATATGTTTCTTTATCAATAAGATCATGAATGATGCAATTTTCCTTTTTTGTTACGGCGAATATTTTTGTTGTTTTTGCAGAAACACATTTTTAAATTGGAAGAGGAAATAGCTGCGTGATAGGTGAATGTGTAGAGAGCGTTTCCTGAAGTGTCATTTCAGTGTCATTGGCTGAAAGATGTCAGTCGAAAATGTGGCCATTACAGCTCAATAGCAGCTTTTTTAAAACATTTATAGTTCATATATAAAGTTGATAATTTGACATCACATTGATTATTCAGTCTAAGTGAAGTTGTCCACCTGAGCAGACTAGCTGAAATCACATTTTGAGAGATGTTATTATGTGTGAAAAGGTCGAAATTAGTCAGAAAAATCAGTTCCAGTTACCTGGACCCGACTTTGGCTCTCTATGCTGCACTGTTTCATTCTGGGAAGAGACCACAAAGCAGCATTGAACTCAATGTGTTTCTTTTCCCTTCCATTCACAAGACAAGACTCGTCTGTGTGTGCCACAGAAATGATGGATTTCATCACGCTATATCACTCAGGAAAAGAAAAACACACGCCTAAGAACAGCGTCAGGACAGAACAATACTTGCTAGTGCAATTCACAATCGACAGTTTGGTAAGCTGTGCATAAAATACACATGGATCAGTGCGATTTCTTCCAGACTTTTTGCAATTAAGTGAAATAATTGTAGTCCAAACAATTCAAAACACACACACACACACACACACCTACACGCACACAAACACACACGCACATACACACATACATAAGCTGAGGCCAAAGTAAGCAGAAGCAAAAGCAACAAAATGAAACTCCCTAAATTGTTAAAGCTCTGACTTCTGAGCGTATGTACAAAAAACGTTAGGAATTAAAGTGCTTAAGGAATAAAAGTGTTTGAAGTTAAAATCAATTCTTAAGTAGAAGGGAAAAAAAGCCGAACAAAAAGAAAAAGAGGAAAGGAAGAGAACAACACCTCTAACTGGAAGGCGTCCCTGGTAGTTGAAAATTGCTTATTTTGTTACTTGGAAGGCTTGTCTCCTTTATGACTGTAAGACGGTTATAGGGATTCCTTTGAAGTAAAAACCCTCGTGTCAAGTCCATGACTAATGGCAGGAACACTGAACAAGTGATATACAGAATCAGAGATGTCGGGAGGGGAACGTCGAGGGCTGTAGGCAGTAATCGACACCTTGTAAATATAATGTCAGCTGTGGTTGGGATCAGTCTCTCTTTCTGGTATTTCCAAACTTTTTTGTAGTACGGATGACACACGTTGCTTTTGTTTTTTTTTTAACACAATTTAAAATACACAAGCACACTTTTTTTTTGCAAATTATCTGTCATACCCTCCATATAACTCAATAAATGGTGGTTTAACTAACTTCAGTCAAAAGCCTAAAGACAGCAGAATTCTTACAATTTTAGTGTAACATATTTTTTTTCTCATCACGCTGTATAACTGCTAACAATAAGAACCCGTTTAGAAAAAAAAGGCATGGAGTTTTTCCTCTCAGTTCTCCTGAGACGATGGGCAGAAGGGTAACTAATCCAAAAAGGCAGTGTCTGTGGGCAACCGGATCTAATCCCTACTTTGCTACCCAAATCTAGGAATGTACTTCCAACTAACAGAATCATCTAGGATGATAACTGGCAGGTGTGGGATATGGTGCACAAAACACCTACGGAATGGACCTGCTTGTGTTGTTTCTCTATCATATGGCAGTATAAAGCATTTTATTGTTAAGCACTATCCTAAGCAAACTTTGTCACTAAAGGGAAAAAGGGTGAGAAGTAGGATATGAATGAATGTACGTGTCATCCCTCTAAATTCCCAAATAACACTCCTCTTATAGTATACTCTGTAAGCTTAATAATGGAACCACAACTCCGATATAAAAATAGATCTAAAACAAAAATGACTGAGTATCTGTCCATCCTGCAACTTGTCTTCTTTTCTTAGTGACATGATTTTATATAATATGATTTTTTTTAAACTACATTTCCCATCATGTCAAATAGTTTCTATGGATCTTTTTAAATGACGGCTGTGGGACAGAATGTGCTGGAGGGAGCAGATTTGGGTGTTCTTCTGGAATATACATTGATATGTGGGACTTGAGTGAAACAACTGGATATGCAAAGGTAGGAAAGTGTAGGGGCGGGTGGTGGGAGTTTTTTTTTCTTCTTCTCTCTCTTAATTTTACTTCTTGGCAGTCAGCGCTGCTAGGGCGGCATCCACCTCTTCTTCGGGCTGCAGCGGATGCCACTGGGCAATCGGGCGGCGGGGGTTGGCCAGCATGTCGGACCAGTGTTTCAGCCCAGCCCCCGTGGACTTGCTTCCCACCCAAATCTTCCCGATGGCATCGTTCTTGCCGATCTTGTCATAATCTAGCACTGTGATGACGGCTTGGATTTTCTGAGGAAACAGGGGGAGAGCATTACAACCTGGTTCAGAGTACAGAGAAGGTTAAAGGATCGTCAGGACTGGAAATGTGGCGCTGGTTTAATTTTTTGTGGTGCTATCCCAGAGTTTTGTGTTTCTCTCGTCATAATTTTTACGGCATCACCACAAACAGCGTCGTGAAGACGAGGGAGCACACCACACAGGTCCGAAAAAAAGTTATGGAGAAACTGTTAAGTTATGAAACAATATCTATGTATTTCAACTTTAAAGTAGCTTCCTTGAACAACTTTTTTTTCCTTCATACTGGAACGTCTCTCTATAATATTAAATGAAGCACTATTTACATTTCTGAAAAGAACTAAAAAAAAAAAAATAATTAAAACATGCTCCATATCCATACCTGCATTTGCTCAAGAGGAATCTCAAAGCTGAAGGACTCGTTGTAGTAAGGATTCAAAGTATTCTTCTTTACTGTCGTCTTCTTCTTCTTCAGCCTCTTCCCATTTTGCAGCAGGTTAATTTTTACGTAGGGATCTGACAAAACAGACACAGGACTGAATCATGACACGAGGACGAGGAACCTCTGTGCTAAATGCAAATCTGGGTTGCAGTATTCTATTATGCCAACAGATGGAGCCACTTCTAATGCAAGACAGAGTGAAGAATGGGTGAGCACTGCAGCGACAGCACGTGAGCAGAGCGGCACAAAATTGATGGCTGGGCTTGAAGTCACGTTCTTTAGCATTCTGCAGTCTCAGAGCAAGGAAAAGGTCCTTTTTACTCAGGACTATGCCGTGATATGGGGTCAAGTGTGAAGCAAAACTGAACATCTACGGCACAGCTGTGTTTATATAAACTAGCCCACCTGACAGTCCTCCCACATCCATTTTCTTTAGGTTCTTAGCCTCCAAGATGCAGATGGTGAGTTTGCCAGCAGTCGGGACGTAACGTAAAGAGATGCAAATATCACCAAGCTTCTCTGGCTGTGAGAAGGAGCAAAGAAAGCAGAACGTTAAGGAAGATAAAGTGATAAATTAGACAAAGAGGTTCACCTACAACATATAAAGACCTAGCGTTTTTTTTTTTCTTTCAAAGACATGCAGTTTGGTTTTGCTTCTTTAGACTGAAATTGCTGTAGAGAAAATGTTTCATTTTAAGATGTTTCTGGGGGAACAGTTTCTTGGATTAAAGTGGTTTCCTCATATTTCCATAGAGTGCAGCATCACAGTGACAGCTCCACGTAACAAGCTGCACAGTTACTCAGTGAGCAGTGTAGCATAACAGACTTTTTGCCTCAATTACAGAAGAGAATCTGTGTTGTGCTTTCTTTAAGTCTAAACAGCAAATCACAGTTTATAAACAATGTAAAAAAATGGCAAGTAATATTTCTAAGAAATCCCATCTACTTCATAGAACCTCATCAGAAGCTTACAGACATTCATAATTAGCATGATTGTCATAAAGCTTGACCATAAGTTGTTCATTTTGAGTGCAATATTGTGTCACCATTCCACCCAGGAAAAAAATAATTTAATTTTAAAGTCTAAATTTCATGCACAAGTTTGAATTGCGTTCACATCTTTTCTAATGAAGACCAACTCAAAACTAAAAGTTCAAATATTGGAAAAATATCACACTCATATTTAATTAAACTGGCCCAAACTGTCAGTTCTAATAGCCAGATATTAGTCGGGATGTTTAGGAATAACTTAAGATCCACCAAGACTTAAGCCTGTCATAGACTAGAACAACAGAGTCAAGGTCCGACAGGGAAGTGAGTTCTATATCAGCATGAAATTAGAGGCTGTCACCCAATAAAAATGTGCCTTGTCCTTTGAAAACACCTTCAAGAAATATGTTACAGCTTCCTATTTGGTTAAACCAAATAAGAAGAGTTGAGAAACAGATTTAGCCAGAATGGAAAGGATCATTTTTGGAGGAGTTAAAATGAGGTTTTTGAACCTAAGAACTTTGCACATGGTTAAGTAACCATGTAAGCTTCATGTTGCTGCCAGTGATACTGGCACACAGCTCACAATAGGGGGAAAAATAATGGAAAGGAACAATCCCCAAGTTGTTTAACTTCACCACAAAGTAAAAACTGGATGGTTGAAATTTGGGCATAGTTGCATGTTCCTGCAGGTCAATGACTCCAAGTACAAGTATTTCACTAATGTTGATGTTATACAGTATTAGTCTATAAGTTTGTGGATAGCATGAAATCTACAATAAATTTGAACTTATGCAGCTCATCGTGTACTGTATAATTCCACCCTGAAAATAAAAATCAGAATGTCCTAGAAACGAAATTCTGAAATTGCAATGTTTTTGTCACTTATTTGAGAACGTAAAGGTCATATGTTATTTAGATTTAATGCATAATTTGCTTGACAGTCTTCTCAAGGCAGTTGCTGGTGTTACACAATATGTAACATCTTTATAATACTCTCATTTTGTGAGCAGTACTTGTGTATTCAAAATTGGGAGTAAAAAAATTACAGTAAGTTCATTGCTAGAGTATGGACAGAGCAGACCTTACCTCTTCTTGATCAGCGCTGTCGAGGTCTCTCCACTCTTCGATTGGTTTTGCAAGGTCCAGAGTATTCATGGGTATCTTAATCTCTCCAATGATGTCGTGTTTGGAGAAGCGGTCAAAGTCGTAGACCGCCATCACCAGAGTCTTCCCTCCCATTTCAGTGAATGGTATCTGAAAATGACCAGCAAGTCTAACTTTAGTCATCGAAATAGCTGAGGACATCTGTCAGAACGGCGTGTTCCTCCCTCTACGTTTCATGGGATGCATTTTTAATAACACTTCCTCCTCTAACGCCCTTATTAAATCCAGCTCATGTTCACTCTGCAAAACTCTACACCAATAAGCCAATAGTTTGTATATTTGTTTTCTCTTCACTATTCACATTTTCAGTCATGTCGATTAGATAAAAGCATCAACTTAATGCAGTTCATTTTTACGTAGCTAAGTGTAGCTTTTTCGGTACACAATAAATTATACATGAATCTGACCTTTTGACTGATTAAATGTATTTAGCTTTATGCAAGCTGCCTCAGTAGGACTGTCTGACTTTGACAAGCTACTAAAACAGTTGAATTATTTTGTATGGAGCTGTCAGCAGACAAGGTGCACCAGAGGTGGGCCCCTCCTTTATTCCCCTTCAGACTCTCCTTTGTAAGACACATTCAATATGTCTGCTTCTTTTTATCACTGCGGGGGGGAGTCAAAGTGTAGGATAAGACAGAATCCAAATATCTTGCTCCAGGACAAGGAAGAAAGGGAAGTTAACTTCATCTATTTTCAACTAGACATGTTTACCAATCACGTAAGCAGAGGTGCTTGGTTCATGAGCAGGAAATGAGTGATGATGAATGACGGGCGGCCACCAGTCGCTTTAAGCTTACCTTAAAAATGAATGTCTCATTGAAGACTGGGTTGAGGGTTTTCTTATGTACTTTTGTGTCAAACTTTTTCTTCTTGTCAGGCAGGACGAAGACTCTGACATAGGGGTCTGAAGTGCCTCCACTGTCCATAGAGATGAGGTCAGCTGCTTGTAGAATTCCTATTGTTAGCTGAGGAGAGTAACATAATGTCATTTAAACAGTGGAAAGAATATTTTTTTGATCAACCAAAAGCGAAATATATAGTGTAGGTTTTGGGTTGTCCTTCTGGAAGATGGTCTCAAGTCATACATCAGGTTTTTATTTGTAAAAATATTATTAAAAATCTATTATTTCCTTCAACTTCACAATAATGCAATAAATAGAGTTGTATGTTGATGTGTCACATGGAAAGCAAAAATTAATACAGCTATGTAGTTGTAATAAAACAAAATGTAGAAAGGTTCAAAGGTTATTAGTACTTTTGCAATGTAGTGTGGGTAATCTGTAAAAAAAAAAAAAAAAAAAAATCAGTAGTACTCTTGCCTTGTTTTCTTGGAAATCATAATCAATGGAGTACTGCAGCTTCCCGAGCTTTTCCTTCTCCTTCACCTCTTCCTCCTTCTCATCTCCAGTTAGGCCTGGCTCAACATCATCTTCTTCATCGTCGTCATCCTGGGGTTTCTGCAATGATAGAAGTTGGACAGGCGACAAAGGAGAGTGTGAGAGGATGGCAGTGAGAGGGTGGCTGAGCAGAACATTAAACCTTACATGTCAGCACAGCAGTCAGGTTAGTCACAGCACCTACCTTCGACTTACCCCAGTGTTACAAGTGCAAACTGTTCATCAATGACCACGGTTGCAACCTGACTTGATTTCACTATTTCCTGGGTGACACCATTTGCTGTTTTTGGTTTTTCATGTGTGTTAGAAGAATGTTAAATATGAAACAGGAACTTTTCCTCATCTACACAATGATTTTGACATAAGACTACTCATTACAACCCATGGCTGATGTTTCACAGATCTATAACACATCATAGAAGGGGAGGACCAAAAGTGAATAATACAGCGATTTAACACTGTACAATAGTTTTGAGACTCTTATAAAAAATTGATCATGTTGCATCAAATTTACTTAACCTTCTATAGTAGCAGTGAGTACTAATGCTGGTTTGGATATACTGAAACCCATACCATAACACATTCATACACTGTGTTGATATATATGGATAAATATGCCATAAGTCATTTAATAAGCACCTATCGGTGCTAAATACACATAATCAGGCACCCAACAAGCACAAACTAGCATCCAAACAGAGTCAAGCTAAAGGTGAGACATTTACTTTATATTTCCAAACTGATAAAAGTTATTTCCTTCTGTATCCGCTTTTTTGTGAGATCAAATGACGTGTATTAAACAGTTGTCAATGATGTATTTTGTACCGATTTCAAACCAATGATTTGCGTTCACTTTTGGACTTAACATTTTGCTTAATCTCTGGTCTATAGACAGAAAACTAATCCAATCCTTTCACACATGTGCGTCGTTTCCACTGGGCAGTACAGCACGGGTCAGTGAGGCTCGATATCCTATTTTACGGTCCGGCGCATTAGGAAGAGTATTTCCACCACCAGTTGGATTCTTATTGGGCAGGTGGGGTTAAACCCAAATTGCATCATACTAGGGTAACAACAAACGTGATGCGCTAGCATGTTTCAAGCTTGTTGTCACAAACAGTGATGTTTTTCTGTCTTCCAATCAACAGACTGTGTTGTGTGATGCCAGTAGCTTCACCTTTACTACTGTATAACTGGGCCCAAGAATGGTTTTATATATATATATATATATATATATATATATATATATATATATATATATATATATATATATTTCCTTTTGTTCTGAAATAAAGGTGTTTGGTTTTCACTTTAATTGTACAGTACGTAATTGTGCCAATTTTATGAGGAAATAGTTTTGAAATGATTTATCAGACTTTTACTTTTATATATATCACACGTCATTTTAACAGACTATGCCGTATGCTACAATTTTGAGAGTTGCTGAATATAATAAATTGCAAAACAAAGAGCAAGGTGTAACATAGCGAGCAGTGATCTGACACAAAGAGGTACTGAGGATATAAACTTTCATCTCTTAGTTGGAAAACAAATGCTTCATCCCAAGAGCCTCAAACATGCTATGATAATATACACAAAGTGATCTCTGGCCTAATTGGTTTTTACAAGAATAAATTGAAAAAGACTGAAAATTGTGTTTTCCTTTTCTTTTTTTTTATATATCAACAGTGTCAAATAATGTGATTTCTAAAGTAACAAAGCTTTCTCGCATCTTTATGATGGGGGAATTTTCAGTTGTCAGACTCTGGTTGTAAAAATGTCCCACTTCATGAGGTTTATGCAAGGACAATAACTTTTGACAATGGGAAAAAATTAAACCAGCAGGCTTTTGTCAAATTAAGAGTTATGAAAGGCAAGTATTGAATATCTTTGCTACAATAATGTTACACTCTTATGGCTTTGGCAGGAATCTCCATCACTCAGGTGGAAAAATCTCACTATATTTTAAAGAAATAAACTTATTCAGCACACATGATACAATAGTGTCATGACAAATTGATGTATGACTCTTTTTGACAAAGTCTTCATGAAACTAGAGACTCCACTACTCACTGATAAGCCAGAAGAACATGACACACACTCATAAATAAACAATAAACACATTCAATGCAGAACTTATCACAAGTCAAGTCAAGTCAAGTCAAGTTTATTTATAGAGCATATTTCAGCAACAGCGCAGTTCAAAGTCCTTTACACCATAAAAACACAGTACAGTAACCAATTATGAAACAAGCAAGAAAAGTTACATTTTTCCACACGCCACCATCAAAATCAAGAAACAAATACATATATTTATTTATATATAAATGTATAAAAATATATTGATCAGTGTTCCCCAGGTGGGTCTAACATGGTGGGTTTTAGTCGTGATTTAAAGGCACTCAGTGTTTCGGCAGTTTTGCAGTTTTACTGGAAGTCTGTTCCAGATTAGAGGAGCATAAAAACATAACGCTACTTCTCCATGTCAGCTTCTGATTCGGGGAATTCAGAGCAGACCAGAGCCAAATGACCTGAGTGGTCCGGAAGGTTGATACAACAACAGCTGTATGTTGTTGTATTTAGGTGCTAAGCCATTCAATGAATGATAAATTAACAAAATTATTTAAAAGTCTCTTCTCTGAGCTACAGGGAGCCAGCAGAAGGACTGCTGCAGTAATGAATGTGACTGAAGATAAACGCATGGGTGAGTTTCTTTAGATCTTGCTGAGACAGTAGCCCTTTAATCCTACATATGTAATAACTGAAGATGTGTGCCGATTCTTGATCGTTCCTCTTTAGGTCCAAAGTTGGTAACTTCAGCTCTGTTTCTGCTCAGCTGGAGAAAATCAGCTGAACACACAGGACACCTACATTTTGCTTACATGCAGACTCTCAAGCATGCTTAGCACACTCTCTCATACACACACACACACACACACACACACTCCCTTTCTCACCCTGCGTCCGTTTATGTTGGATTCTGTGGCTGTGTTGTGCTAATGTCTTTCATTCAAGCATGCCAGGCCACACAATGCAGGATTCAAGTTTATTTCTGATGGTAAGTGTAGATGTTTTATAAAAATCTGAGAGGCAATAAGTATTTAAAAAAAAAGTCACAAATTTTTGTAAGATCCAAAAATTTATCCACCTATATGTCCTAAGTATAATGTACAAATCCATGAAGGTATCATGCTATATGCATAAGATTTGGTTCTTGTCATACTTCCTGTAGGAGCTCAGAGATGCAGATACCGTGCCTGGATGAATGCCTTTTGCTGAGTAACATCGGAGCTCAGTTTTAGGTTTAGTAAATAAATTGTCCACGGAAACAGACAGTTGATTTTGGACTGAGTTGTTTCAGGCCTCTATTTATTGCTAATCTAGGCATCCATTCAGGGCCACCATATCTCTTCAGTGAGACCCAAGGGCTTTAGGGAAGAGGGGGCATCAATGACTTTCACCTAGTATGTCAGCAGCATGGGTCATCCAGGAAAGTTACTCTCAAGTCAAGTTGTGGCCATTCAATGGTAACCTACTGCAAGGGCGTATGCTGGTCTTTGTCAAGAGATGCAGACTATTCATCTGCCGTAAAACGAGGAGCTTATTTGTACAACCAGGTAACGGAATGAATTTTATCCCCGAGTCAAGATACAGAGGAATAGTTGGTGAGACACCAGTTGTGATTGTGCTCGGCAATTGACTTCTGTCCTAGCAGAAGCTTGCTTTGTGCTTTTAGGTCAATAAAGTTACAGCCGATATTTGACAAATACCCAGCTTAACCCTTGCACATGCATGTTAGTGATCTCTAGTGAGTTGCTCAGTGCGCTCAACATTCAAAGGCTTAACCATAGGATGAGTTTCATGTTCACTTCAAACCATATAGAGATTTTTTTTCACTTATTTTTGCAAAAAAAAAAAAAAAAAAAAAAAAAAAAAAAAAAAAAAAAAAAGCAAAACAAAACTGCAATCTCTGGATTGTCAAGACATGGCAGTTGGTGCAGCATAACAGTTTAGTGGATTCTGCAAAGCAGCTTAATTGTTCCCATCGAGTCCTCAAGCACCTGCAGCACCAAAACTTGCAAAAAACTAGGGAAGCCATAGCAATCATTGTCATCATCACTGCAATCCAACCCCTCCAAGCCCAGCCCAGCCCAGCACAACCCTTCCACCCGCCCCACCCTCCAGCACCGCCGCCGCCCTGCCCTGGTCTGTGCTTACACAGAGCAGCCAGAGAGGGGTGCCGTGTGCTGTCAGACCTACCGTAGACAGAGAAGTCCACCACAGTCAAGATACACGGAGCACATATAAGACACAAAGCAGGAAGGAGGAGAGCAGAGACAAAGGAAGAGATTGAACTCACAGCAGACACCAAAGAAGGGTAATCACAGCAAATGCAGTAAGCTGCTCTGCAGGGAGTGAGGAAAATGACAGATAGAAAAGCCTCCTTATTGGCTCAGCTGTGTGCTTTTATGTTTTATAATACCTGCTTTTTTTACCGCGTTCAATTCGCATCAGCACACAATTGAATTTTTACGTCCTGAGGCAACTTTTAGTGCAAGCTAGTAATTTTTGATAATGACTCTTTATTGAATGTAAGAGAGGCAGTCATAAAGGAGGCTGTGCAGGCAAGGACCCTGTCATTTTTTTACTCAAACCCCAAAGCCCACATGAAAGAAAGAGCAACAATAACATTTATGACAAATACATTGAATAACAGAGAAAGAAAGAGAGAATGAAACAAATAATTATGGTTGACAAACAGTGCAATCAAAATCTGTGAAAAATTCTTGACCGGGTTAGAGAGACATCAACACAGTATGCAACTTTGTTCATGTCTAATCAGTAATCTAAATAACTTTAAGAAGAAAAATAATATGTTCGTGCTACTGCACTAAAGTGTAATAAATTAGCTAAGTCGTGCGTATGACTCATCTTTTTTTATCTTTATTCCACCACAGCGCCTCACATTAAACCCAACAGACATTAGCTAATAGGGTCATGAATGGGTCAGTTATTTGTGGCTCATATGCAGTAACAATATAGATTTTCCTAGCTGTGACACAACCTGTATCAGTGAAACATACCTCGCCTTTTAAGTTCTTCATTCCCATGTCACCCTTCCCCTTCTTGCCCTTCTTGTTCTTCTTCTTCTTGCAACAGCATTTCTTGATGATGCAGAAGCAACACGTTAGAATCAGTAAAGCAGCGACCACGGCAATGGCAATGATGGCCCAGGATGGCACTGAGGAGAACACACAGACCAGTTCAAAGACGGAACAGCCCCATTCAGAAACAAAAGACGAGAAGCACATAATCTGAAGTCTGACCAAGTGATCATTTAGGCTGCTTCATGTCATGCCCCAGGCCACACAGATTTAGTAAGAGGTGGAAGGTTAGCAATTACATTGGATGACAATTAGATTTCCCTGCCATTAGGAAGAGCAGCCAGTGATCAATATCAAATAAAGACATTATAGGACTGATGATGCCTGCAGCAAAAGAGAAAATCTAATTCCAAAATAATTGTTGAGAGCCACGTCAATAAGAGTTTTGGGCTTTGCCTGGCACTCACGTGGGATCTTGTCGATTTCATTCAGGAACTTGTTTTTGATCTCATCAAAGGCATCGTTCTTGTTGACTGGCTCCGTGGCGTTTCCAGTGGAGACTAACCCTACGGGGGCTGGAGTAACCGTCGAGTCACTGGCCCCCGTTGGTTTTGCTGCGACCATAGGCGTTGTTTCTTGCTTGAACAAGTTAAACTTCATCACTAAGGCTGCTCAGTCCCTGAAAAACAGCATGAAAAGACACAATCATCAGCATTAAACTTTCAAAGACTTGACATTTGGCGACACAGGTACAGTTATATTAAATAAATTAGGATATGCGTTACATAAACAAATGGCTGGTGTTCTGCCTGTTATTGTTGTAACTTCAGCAGATTCTTCAACATGCAAACTCATCTTCTTACGCCAGACAGGACCTCAAAAAAGATGTACCTGGATAAAACAATACCCACACCCAAATCCTAGAGTAATGGTTTAGCTCACAGTTTTTCTTCTAAATGAGGTAAGTGCAATGTGGATGGTGTAGCTTGCATTCCTGCATTGCACTGTGATTAGTAATGCAACTGGTTACTGCTTTGTGCATATTCTTTCACCGGTTAGCTAAGTGACTTTTTTGAATACAGGGTAAATTTCCCTAATGAGATGGGGGGCATTACAATATATCATACTGTATTGTAGTGTACTCACAAATACACCTGAAAACTTTCCTAACTGCATTATCTGGTGGTTGCATGCAATTTAAATAGGTTTTTTTCATTATAGACACGAGGCACCTCAGTGCTCAGGGGGGAAAGTGAAACCTGCATGGCACTAACATGAACATCTGTGTGAAAGAAAGGGAATTTACAAGTTCCCAAAACTTGTCATTTTGGCTCTTTTACCTGAAAACTTTCACAAGGGACAGGGCATACAATGATGAACATTTTTGTTCCCACTTTTTATGATAGAAAATTACTAGGGATAAATTACTAGAATCTCGAGAAAAGGAACTGTTTGTAACTGAAACCTAATTTGGTTTTCTGTAATACTGTTTCTGATATTAAGCCGTGAGTACCTGACCTGCTTGGCTGTTTGGCCAAGCAAGAAATAGGTTAAGTATCTGCACAGACCTAAACGACAGTTGTAACAGGGCACTTTGTGGTTCCCGATATCTCCGAACATGAAGTGCAGTTGAAAGCAGCCTACCTTCAGAGTGCTGAGTGAATGATTGCAAGGGAAGCAAAGACAAATGACAGGCACAGCACAAAATGACTGGGGCTCCTCATTTTATTTTTTAACATGTTGGTTTGCGAAAAAGATGAATCTCCCATTTCTCAAGTGCCAATTTTCAAGTTGCTGCCAGAGATGCCGTTTCTATTTATTGCTGCATATCAATTATTCAAACTGAGGCTAACAGCAGGAAGGATAAGCTTATATTATTCAGGGCCATGGACTGGGTTATACATCTTCAAAAAAAATGTGAGATGGAGGAAAAACTTTTTTTCTGCTGATGAAACTACTTGGTAAATATATTGAAATGGGAACTCTGCTACAGAGAAGTTATAAAACTTTGTGTGGGCGAAGAAAATTACTCAAAACAATCTATCATATTCAAAATGAGATTATCTTAAAAAACATACATCTCTACCGTTGTGCCTGAATTATATTTCATGCTTTGCTATGACAGTGTTTAAAGGTCACAAAAGAAGAAATGTCTATTTTATTCTGTTTGTCCCCCGTCCCCCCAATCAGATTAAAGTGTATCAATTTAATTAACAGCTGTGGGTCTGTCCTCTACAGCCTCCATAGAGGACAAAAAGAACATAGACCAAAACCATTTTATGATCTCCATCAGCCCTGTTTTAACGTCAGCACTTACTCACAGAGGAAGAGAAAGCTGTATAAGCCAGTCAGATTTTGAAACGCTACTCCTAAATTAATCTTTTAACCAAGGTTAAAATAGATAAAGTCCTGTAAACTGAGGCTGCTGACGCATGTGCAACAAAATTAACGTACATTCAGATGACAAACAAGACTATCCAGGTTTGTATGGTTTTCTGCACTGAGAACCTACACATCCGCTTATGTCATGTCATATGTTATACAAACCAAGGATGCTGAAGTGTAAGCTAAGGTAGGCCATGTCATCAACCCAGAACAGCTTTAAATCACATTCAGACCTCTCTTTGTACGAGTGGGCATCTTTTCACTTTTCAGTTTTCAGACAATTTGTTTGGGGCTGAAGAAGCTTTGGAAAAATCTTACTTAAAGATTAAGATTTAGGTGTCATTGCCTGGACTCAGAATGGGGTTTTTACAACAAGAATGCATTGTTTACAGTAAAGAACAAGTTAACTGGCTCTAATGTTTATCTAAAGTTTTAATGGCTTCTTTACATTGTGCTTCGTCTTAGAGCAAAGGGACCTTTTGTTTTCACAGGGGCCGGGTAACAGCACAGAGAAAATCTTTGGTCTCTTGATGATAGACATAGTCGAAATTGTTTTCTGTGTAAAGATTTTGGAAATCATCCTTCTCTTTTAAGTGTACTCTTTCAGGTGGGACTTTTTAATTTTTTGAGAAACATCATGTCTCTTGTATTGTTTCTAGTAAAATCACTTTTCGAGCGTGTTTACCACATCCGGCTTGCTCGAAGATAAAACTGCTTAATCTCCATCCAACTCTGAGCAGTGGATTTTGTGATAAGGGCCAGCTCATGCTTGAGGCTCCTTTAGAAAGTGCAGCCAAGCAATTTTATTTTAACTAATTATAATGACTCAGACTCTAACAATGTGAGGCCCACTCTAAGAAACTGAGATCAAGATTTCCGTACGTCTCCGTGGCCAAAGTATTATCTGAAATCTATAGGAGATAATCTGCATACTGTAATTTCAACTATGATTCACCTGGAAAGGGATTTGTGAAGCAGGACATATGAGAGTGATATCACACCACCAATATCTAGCCATAATGTAGCACTGATACATATTTCTGCTTTGATTTCTTGGTCACACTTCTGATAGAGCACATTGAAAGAAGGAGTGATGCTCAAATGAATTTCAGTTGTGGACAACTTTGTTATTATCCTGATGCTTAATTTATCAGCTAAGTCCAGTGACAAAACAATGCAAAATGTGAGCCTCGTCAGACTGACATAGAGGGCTTTTTTGTTTGTCCTTTTGTTTGTTTTTGATGAAGCCATTATAAACCTTACATAAGAGTAATTCTCTTCAAATATAGAAACTGTTGTATTTCTGCATGGTGATAAACTGCTGTTTATGGTAATTTAGTTTGGCTGATGCAACACAACAGGGTTGGGTTGTGAGTTAGAATAGTGCTAAAAAAATAAACGTATATGATCATTTGTAATTAATTTGATTTATGGGAAAGAAATCACACATCTGAGTGACATGTAAAATCTTTTTCAGGTTCTATAAATGAAATATGGAATCACATGGTAGGATTGATGAAGAGAGAAACTGACTGAAAAATGGTTATATGTTATAGTTTAACATAGCATCTAAATATGTTACAATAAAAACATGTGTGATATAGGATCAGTGAACCAAACTTTCCACTCATAGGAAAACCCAAGCGGCACGTAAGTCAGTTTGTTAAGAGTGTGGTTATGTGGGGGAGGAGGGGTAGTGGGTGTTTATCAGGAGCTTATTAGCATCCATGTCAGCTCCAAGACAAAACAACCTAAAGATTGGGAGCTAAAGCCATGCAGCTGTTTTACAGGATGACAACAAGTACCACAAACAGCAATTAATTAACTATCTAAACCCAGTCAGCCACATTTGCTTCCCTCCAGCACAGACAGTTGCGTCTGCAGCAGCTGTCGGCAGATGGCCGATCTGTGCAAGTGGAAATCATAACCCATATTTTCATTCAAACTTCATATGTGGTTCAAAGCCTAAAAACATTTTGCCAATCACTTTCAAAATGGCCTCTCAAAGAGTAAATTGGGACCAGAGTCACACGACTGTTCCTCGGGGCAACGGTTAGGAGCATTGGGGCGACAAATTAAGTATCGAATATTAGGCCCTGTGAATATGCTGTTGTGTTCGAAGACGAACAACAGAAATAGCTACTAGGATGCCATTAGTCACTGGGTGGTATGGGTTCTAAAAAATGCAAAGAAAACTAAATAATATGTCCCCAGTGACATAATTCAAGTCCCCACAGAGGCCCCCGCCATCTGTGACATTACGGGTTATGTGTGGGTGGGCTGAGTGGTTGGCCTCCAGCTGAACTAGCGGTGCATCCTGTGCAGCTTCATTTCCTCCAAGTCTAACTGATGTTATGGTTGCATTAATATGGGTTGGTTTCCTTAGAAAATTTGCATTAATTCAGATATTTGCAAAGTTCTACGCATTAGGAAATCCCTTTTCTTCAAATTTTTTGATTCAGGTTGAAGCAGTTTTAGATAATTCTCATTGAGCATGTGATATGATTAATACTTGGATTTTTCATACTATGTGATTTCATCATCTGAATCCCAATGAACTATTTAAAGCATAACCTATACGTTTCAGAATTATGAGAAACACCCATTAAGGTTTGCTACAAGATAAAAATATTGGCTCTATTAGCACTGAGTCACAGCTGACCTCTGATCTCTTGGGAACTTGATTTAAGAAGAAAACGTGAACTGAGCCAGCTACAGAACAAAGAAGGAAATATTTTAGAGAATCTCTTAGTGAGAAAAATTCCTGCTTTGGAAGAGCTGAACTGAAAAACTGGACTTGGTTCAATTAGAGATAATGTGCGGCTTTGATTCTGAATGCTTGCTACTTCATGGCAATTCTCCTCAACTGAAATGGACTTGGGGCTCCCGCAGTCATAATGGTGTCATTTTAGTCAATTTTAATAAGATTACAGGGTGGATACTGATGGCTGCAGTGCTTGCTATTTACCACAGAAATATGAGAGAGTCCGCTGAAGTAAGTCTGAATATATTCTGAGACTATTTTCAGTTGGATGTGCTCTGAACTGTGAACATCCGAATCTATGGTAATCACAGCGAAGCTCTCTTGAACTTACCCAAATTTACAACTGCTTAATGTAGAAAAGCAAAATATTCACTTGAGCGCTTGTCTTCCAAATGACTTGAGAAGAAATAGAGCAACGAAAATCCTTTGTTGTTTTTCAGTAAAATAAATATTAAGTGCATGACAGAGACATATTTCTTCAAGGTTGTCTACTGTGGTTACATAGCACTAGCTCTTTTATCATTTCATGA